GTGACCATAACTCCCATACCTTAACACCGACTTAAGGCAGGCTTAGCGCTAAGGTGATCATAACTCTCATACCTTAACACAGACTTAAGGTAGTCTTAGCGCTAAGGTGACCATAACTCTCATTCCTTATTATAGACTTAAGGCAGTCTTAGCACTAAGGTGACCATAACTCTCATACCTTAACACAGACTTAAGGCAGTCTTAGCGCTAAGGTGACCATAACTCTCATACCTTAACACAGACTTAAGGCAGTCTTAGCGCTAAGGTCACCATAACACTCATACCTTAACACAGACTTAAGGCAGTCTTAACACTAATATGACCATAACTCTCATACCTTAACACAGACTTAAGGCAGTCTTAGCACTAAGGTGACTATAACTCCCATACCTTAACACAGACTTAAGGCAGTCTTAGCACTAAGGTGACCATAACTCCCATACCTTAACACAGACTTAAGGCAGTCTTAGCGCTAAGGTGACCATAACTCTCATACCTTCACACAGACTTAAGGCAGTCTTAGCACTAAGGTGACCATAACTCCCATACCTTAACACAGACTTAAGGTAGTGTTAGCGTTAAGGTGACCATAACTCCCATACCTTAACACAGACTTAAGGTAGTGTTAGCGTTAAGGTGACCATAACTCCCATACCTTAACACAGACTTAAGGTAGTCTTAGCGTTAAGGTGACCATAACTCTCATACCTTAACACAGACTTAAGGCAGTCTTAGCGTTAAGGTGACCATAACTCTCATACCTTAACACATTCTTAAGGCAGTCTTAGCGTTAAGGTGACCATAACTCCCATACCTTAACACAGACTTAAGGTAGTCTTAGCATTAAGGTGACCATAACTCTCATACCTTAACACAGACTTAAGGCAGTCTTAGCACTAAGGTGACCATAACTCTCATACCTTAACACAGACTTAAGGCAGTCTTAGCACTAAGGTGACCATAACTCCCATACCTTAACACAGACTTAAGGTAGTCTTAGCGTTAAGGTGACCGTAACTCTCATACCTTAACACAGACTTAAGGCAGTCTTAGCACTTAGGTGACCGTAACTCTCATACCTTAACACAGACTTAAGGCAGTCTTAGCGTTAAGGTGACCATAACTCCCATACCTTAACACAGACTTAAGACAGTCTTAGCACTAAGTTCTGTAACCGACGTCTGTGTTATGAAGTGGGACGGTTTTGTTCTAACTACGAATTTTGGAGCAGACAAACCAAATTGGGCATTGCGAATGGATCCGGTGTTTAACCATGACAGGTGCCTCCAAAGAAGATACTGTATATATTATTATTGTTGTTCTACTCCGTACTCGGCTACCTGACAGAAAACCTATATCCCAAACCATTATGGTAAAAAACCCAATGAGTTAAAATTGAACAAATTGTTTAACTGTAAACTAATTAGTGATTTTAAGTTAAAATGTATATTTTGTAATACCATCATGAAAACTGTTACACTCTTCCATGTAAACTATCCCGTGTTAACCATCATATGTACACTTGTCTGTATATTTGTACCTCTTATGCCGAGTATCCCGGTCTGAGCGTCATACACGTTCTGTTCTGTTCTGACGGTGGTCTGTATACAGTCGAGTCTTGACGAAACAAGCCAATGTGGGTTCCACAACAGCCTGTAAACACAGAATATTTGGCACCAAGTACAGGTAGCTCCCTACATATCCTTCAGAGTTAAGACTCCGAAACTTTAAGATGTTTTTTGGCGGTTCATTAGGATCTCTGCATTTTGTTATTTTTATTTAGTTTTTGTATCTGACTTGTCTGACCACAAGTTTCTGTCTGGAGATAAATGGAACAACGTGGTGTCTGGTCATTGGCTTTTGTACATGTACATGCATCAAAGATCCGGCAAAGTGTTTTGTGTTAATTAACATGTATAGATGCATTACCTGATAAAGCTTTAAACATTTGTACAGACACATTGGAAGAATAAAAGTTTACAGGTTACCTTTGTCCTCTTTATTACCAAAGGTTATTGCACTTTCAAACGATAAGTCGTTTTTGTTATTGACCTATTGATGTGTTTACACAATGACGTGTCCTTCAAGCATGTTATGGAGGTAACTGACGAAAGATCCCCATAAACTTGGTAATCTCCAGATCGTATTTCAAGCATGTTCAACAAAAATATAGTTTCACCTTGAACTCACCAGATTACAGATGTTGATGTACAAGAGTCACGTTACATGGCATGGCATGGGCATGGCCACAACAGGTGAACAAGTACATAACAAACTAGGACAAAAGTATTAACGCTGTACAATAGGTCAGGCAAAGGTAGACCAGTTAAAGGTGTTCCAGAATATTTGATTGGGTGATACTGTTCGGAGGTTTACTCCTAGGACGTAAGAGGTCCATGTCCACCACTGAAGCAAATGTCTGTTTGTTTGTTTGTTTGTTTGTTTGTTGTTTAACGCCGCTCTCAGCAATATTCCAGCTATAGAGCAACGGTTTGTAAATACTCGAGTCTGGGCCAGACAATCGTGTATTCAACAGCATGACTGAATTCGAAGCACCGTATGGTGTCTCACCGGCCATGTTCCTTTGGTTCTCCCAGCAGTTAATGGGTACCCGGAAGAGAGCAGCTTTGGATGTGTAATCCCCTGGACGCTGAGCATGACATGAACATATTCACATGCATTCATTTACTGTATCCATAATCAGTCATCTTTAGTTAAAGGTGACAATAGCTTTGCACTTTGAGGTTAAGATAACAACATTGTTTACAGTATGAGTGAGTGAGTTTAGTTTCATGCCGCTTATAGTGTTTAGGATCTGCTTTGATGAGATATACATCACTGTTCTGTGTATAAAGCATGCATTTTCCGGGTAATGTACACGATATGTTACAATACATCATATCTCTTAATTGTTTAATGTTAATGTAAAACTTTTTATAATTAGTTAAAGTGCATGCGTTGTTGAGCTCATAAAGCTTTCATGTTTTTTCTTTATTGCGATACTTTATATAAAAAAAGCATCCATATTGACAGAAAAGTATAATCATCCATGTTGACGGTACATTTACACAAGCACTGTGTCGTGTACTTTACGTAGATGCATGCACGTCTCTTACGACGATGTTGATGCCAGTGCCATAAATAATTGTTGAAAATATAATGTTTGAGATTGATGGAAACCTCATGGATAACGTCTGTTTTGTAAACATGCTTTCCTTTACAAGTTCATTTTGTAGAACAAAGCATTATCGGCATGGTAATTTACGTGACCAATGAGAAATTGTGATCCTGTTTGAAGACAATTCCAAGTGTAAACCATTATATGTTCATGTATGACAGTTGATGCATAAAGCTCACATTTAAAAGTATACTGTACCGAAAAAGAAACACAAAGATGACTGTATATTATTACAGTTTTACCTGTTTCACCCAAAATGTTAGATAAAGTTACGTATTTAACAAATATTGTGTATCACTGTTTTTGATTTGATAACATGGTCCAATCACACCGTATTTGGTAATTTATTGACATTTACTCGAGGTTTTCGATATTGTCACGAAATAAACCAAGAATAAGTGGTGTGCAAGTGGTCTGAGAAAACAGAGAGTGGGGAAGATGGGTATAGCGAGTTGGTATTCTGTCAGAAAGTGGCCTACTGTTGCTTGACTCGTGAGTTGCAATTTTCGAGATGCCACGACGAGAACCTTCGACTCGAAATGATGCCATCAGAAGTATACATACTGGAGAATCTCAGTTGTCTCGTCATTTGATGTCCACCACAGCACAATTTCATATTTTAGGGTCAGTTACCAAATGTATAGGTCTACAGGAGACCAGTCAAGGTAGCACAAGCCAAATATGACAACTGCAGTTTCCAGCGGTCGTCAAACTACGTCACTGGACCATCACATCAACAGACAATGTCTCTGATGTGCCTGGTGTCGACACAAGTCGACTTCTTTGTAAGTTTGGAGTTCGAGTCCGAAGACCGTATTTTGGCGATATTCTACGACGTCAGCCCCTATGCTTGCGTGTTTGGTGGTGTTTAAAGGTTCAAACATAACATCGGAGAAACTGGCGTAGAGTTTGGTTCAGTTATGAAGCCCGTTCTTTCATGCAAGATCGGCGAAGTGTCTCCAGACGTAGAAATGAGCGCTTAGCTCAAAATTGTTTTATCGAAGAGAACAGATCTGGAGGTGACAGTGTCATGATGGGGGTTGAAATATCCCATACTCGTACAACAAACTTGGAGCACGTTAAAGAAACGCTGACAGCATAACGTTACCGAGATGTAATTCAAGGTACCACGTCACTGGTTTTCCGCTATCGACCCTCAGACAGAGAGTTTTCAGTAGGACAACACCCGCCCACATGATGGGTGTGTCAGTATTGATTTCCTACGAAGTCAGAACATTACAGTGATCACATGGCAATCAAAATCGCCGATTTAAACCCAGCTGGCCATCGACGAGATCAACTCGATGGCTGTGTCCGACAACGTCAACTGTCTCTTCCGCAATGTCACCAGGCATTGCAGCATGACGGGCACGAATTACTAGGGATCCATTTCAACGACTGATTTCGTCAGAACTGTGATATTGGCCAACTGTGGTTATAACAGGACTGACGTTAACGCTGCCATATCACGCTATCTTTGTGCGACATTTACGTCAGTCTAATTTGACAACTGACGCTATGACGTTAATCATGTGAAGATTGATCATAGATCTGTACCTTCGGTTCAAAACGTTCGACGTTCGGAAATATTTAAACTTCTGCGTTTCCTTTTGCAGGATCTATGTTGTTAGTACTATTAAGTGAAGACAATTAATATAAGTTCCATGTAAACACAGTTTGGTATACGCATTACCAAAACATAAAGCATAAAAGAAAAGATATTTGAAAAAAAAAAAAGTCCGTTGTAAAAGGAATTTAATCTTTCTTCGCTACCTTCGTCCGTCTGCAGGACACCCGAGCTCCCTACTTTGGCTGTCAGGGGTCAGTCTGAGTGGATGTAAGTCTATCTCTCCCACGGTGACACACATATCAGTGTATCACACCACCACTATTTACACTGGGAATGTAGACTGGCACTACTTAAGGACAGCTTGCCTGCAGAAAACTTCACATTGTCGAGGTGCATGACACGCAGATCTTTGGCGTCACTTCGTCACATCTCCAGCAACAACATGGCTCGCTTCTCCGTCGTCCTTTACATCACAATGGTGTTGGTGATTGTACAGTCATGTAAGTGCAACATGCGTCTATCTATTTTAAAAGTTTACCTTTGTTTTATACATTTATATTTTTCTGAGTTGATAAAGTTCCAGTACTCGCTGTGTTCGTCATATTAAGCGATGTCGCATGATTATCGTGATACTCTGTGCCTGGCTGGTCAAAATAGATTGTCCTTAGAGGTTTTCATGTTAATGAATTAGAAAAGCTTATGTACACGTCAAATGTCAGCGACGTCAATCTACATCCATGTTTGTTCAACATTTTAAGATGATTAGATTTGCTGTAGACAATGGATGCTCATTCAGTGCTTTGGGATGGTAGGGTAGCCTAGTGGCTAAAGCGTCCGCTCGTCACGCCGATCGCGAAGACCGGGGTTTGATTCCCCACACGGGCACACTGTTTGAAGCACACCGCCTCCGTGGTGTAGTGGTTAGAGCGTCCGCCCGGAGAGCGGAAGGTCGCGGGTTCGATCCCCGACCGCGTCATACCAAAAGACGTTAAAATATGGTACTTGTTGGTCCCTGCCTGGCGCTCGGCATTAATGGGTACAACAAGGACTGGTCGGCTCGGAGTCAGTATAATGTGTCTGAGTGGGGTATTCATGCCTCACTGCGGCATGGTATCTCAGTGGGCAGCACTATAAAACCAGCTTCAGTCTGGGCTAGTACAAGCAGCCGCACATACACATACACACGCATGCACGTCGTTATATGAGCGAAATATTCTCGAGCACGACGTAAAACCCAATTTCACCTCACCTCACCTGTTTGAAGCTCATTTCTGGTGTCCCCCGCCGTGGTATCACTCACTCACTCACTCATTCCGTGCGTTAGTTGGCAAGATTAAGGGATGGAGTTACTCGCTCGCTCGCACACACACACACACACTCATGCACGCACTCAAGCACACTCGCTCGCACACACACACACACACTCATGCACGCACTCAAGCACACACTCATTCACGCAAATGAAAAAAGACACGCAACTCCTTTCACATGGAATATCGCCGAAAAGAAAATGAAGTAACACTTACTCTCATTGCTTCTCTCTCATTTGTTCTTTCTCTCTATCGTTTCTCCCCACTTTCCTTTCAGTGTGCGTTAACGTAAACACAAAATATAAACCAGGGGCAGATAACCGTGTATAATTGTGCCATGCAGAGCGTCGGCAGAGGCCTGTTACAGATGCAACTGTCATTACCGTTGTTGATGTCGTTGCAGCATCTGCCGAGGAGACATGTCAAAGCCTTGGAGGCACGTGCAAAGGCTCCCTCTGGTCCAACGTCAAGTGTGATGGACAGGGAAGGTATCCTATGGCCGGATGTGGCGCGTCCATTGTGTGCTGTCTTCCTCCGAAACAAGGTAACCGTCCTTTCTGTACACCTGGCAAACAAATTAATTGCTGCTTGCACGTTAGATAGGTAATAGTATTATTATTTAAGATATCCGGTATTAATACTGTAAATATAAAAGAGGGGGTATGTGGTGTTTGGACTGCTCGAGACATCAGAAGAATTTTACGCTGAATTTGGACATCTAGGATCCAAAATCAGTTCGAGATAACCTGCAGTTCGATACATCTAGTTCGCCATATTCGAATATAAATGATGATGCATATAAATTCGAGGGACCGGAAAGTCAGTTTAGACAACCACGAATTCAACATATGGATGCCCACTCGCACTGAATCTGCAACTGTTACCTGACATTACTAGGACCCCTTGCTGCCTGTGCGGTGAGATAGCCTGGTGGTATTGCCACTATGATAAGAGGTGCTTAAACTCGGTCCCATGTCCATTTGAAGAAGCATACAATGCCATTGCATTAACATTCCCTCAGCGGAAGTATCGTATTAATGTACAAATATTAAAATGAGTTCAGTCCGGAGTGGTTTTATAAGACCTTTAATACACCCACTCGGCTAAACGATAGAACATGAATTCATGGTCATCATCTAGAACGACTTACGACTGTCGTTCCGCTACGATCACTTCGCGGGACGTTGAAGAGGACGGCGGTTTGTCTCCAGCTCTACCACAGTACCGACAAGCACTAACACAGCTGAAGAAAAAGTGGAACTGGGGTGGGGATGCAATAAAAATACATTAAATTAAAATAGTGCGACAAATGAACATGGCTTTTCTTTGCCTTAAATAGCCCAATGACTCTATTGTGATTGTAAACACATCACCAAATGACAATTGTTATGTTTGTCTGCATAAAAAGGATATGCATGATCAAAAACATGGCGGGTCCGCGTGCGATTTGTGTCTACCATGTATTGTTACCTTCATGACAACAGTTGCCTAGCAACTGCTATTCGTGTACCGCTACTTTGAACTGTCACCATCATGACAACAGTAACCAAGCAACTGCTATTTGTGTACTGCTACCATGAACTGTCACCATCATGACAACGGTTACCAAGCAACTGCCGTGTATTGTCATCATGATAATAACAGATGTCAAGCCACAATATCCCATTGGTCTAATACGATTCTATTTGTATTCCATTCATGAAAGAAGTTAGGCATGGGTCTTCCCGATTACACTTGGTTTGGTTACATACGGCCGGAAAAAGCGGATCGTGTCTTCTTGATCAGCTGTTTCGATCAACGCCTCGTCCCATTCATCATTTGTCAGTAAAAGAGAAAGAATGTTTTTCTCAAAGGTTGAGCCGAATGATATTTGTATTCCTGTATATTTCTGTATTTTAGTACATGAAGCATACCCAGCGTTATGTGTATATATATCGCTATATTGTCAGCGACGGTGAAAACGTGTGCTGCCTCCTGCGGTAACTGTTTGACCACAAAGACCACGCCCTTCTGTGCTGGCTACAAGGTGCCCGCCAGCGACTGCAACGGACCGAGCGAGTTCTGCTGTGTTCGAGCGTGGATTGGTCCATGTAAGAATTAATAATCCATTTAACTTAAATTTCAGTCCAAATTGTAATTACATTACAAATGTCCAGATGTCTTGCAAAACTAAATTACAAATATCCATGAAAATAAGTTCAGTTGGCCCCACCGGTCCTAAGGTCGAATCCCGAAACCATCATCATTATGGCGCTTGGTTTTCATGGGTTTCACCTGCGTGGTAAATGTTCAGTGTGTCTATCTAGAGTTTCATGTTGAAAAACTGAGTAAGGACAAAAGTAATGAAATATTGTCTAGGTACTTTTCAGCATGATACATGGTGTATTGCGGGGAGATGTAATGACTGTCCAGTGTTGTTGTGTCATGTTTTTCATTCAAGTTTCCTTCTCACAATAGGTCCTTCCTCGCCATGAAGCAGACCGTGGTCAATCGAGCCAACACTGTACAAGTAAATAAAACGTTGCATTCTGATTTGTGTTTTTGTTGTTATTGTTGATATGTGTTTTTGTTGTGTTTAATACATTTTAGTTTAGTTTGTTATGGGTGTTTGTAGGTTTATATTCATTTTTATTCATTTTTTTAGGGAAGGCGTTGTTAATGTTTTTTATGGGAGGGACTTGATTTGATGGTTTGTTGATTTCTTTGGTTTTTCTTGTTTGTTTTAGTGTGGGCTTTTTTTTTTTTATTTATTTATTTATTTGGGATCTATTTGTTTATTTTGTTGTTTTTGCTGGTTTTAACTAGGCAGATGTTGTTTCATTCTATTTTTTGTCAATATTGAAAGAAAATGTACACACAAAATGATATCAATATAAAGGTAATCTTCACCTGTCATCTCCCCTGTGAAACCCCTTACTCCCCTCCCCCTCAACATATGAATTTCCTCACGCTGACCCACATATCAGAGATGTCACCACCACTATTTACACAGTGAAATGTAGACCGTTTGATAGGACACCGGGCCAGCTTACCTACAGAATATCTTCGGTGCTCGTCCTGCTTGTGTGACCTCCATATTGTTTGTCTTGAGGTCATGTTACAGGCATGTGCGGCATTGACCATGATATCGTTGGTGTTAGAGAAGATATTAATATAGATCTAAGCGACAAAACCTTTTCAATATTCAAGAGTCGATTTACGAATTCTTACTGTGTCATGAGCATATGTGTATGCTCACAATAAAAGAGACATATGATTTTTTTATTTTTTTTAAGGTAAACAGATTGAAGTTGCTACATTTTATAGATATCTTGGAACTGTTTTCGCCCCAAGGTTAGTTAGGACTAAAGAACAATACTGTCTCTTGTCCCAGGCAAATAAAGCACTCATGTCTATCTATTCCTACCCAAGAAACTCCGGCTATATGACAGCGAATGATCGTTTTAAATTATTATTTTACCTATTCTATGTTATGGTTCTTAAGTGAGAGAAACTTCATATTGTAAGATCATTGAAGGTCTCCAAAGTGATATTTGCTGGCTGTTCTTGGTAGAAATGTTTGTAGCAGTTTAGTTCTAGGTGAATGTGGCAGACTTCCATCACAGTTTAATTATATGTCAGCAGCTGTTAAAGGAGAATACGAACGAAAACAAAACTTTTGATATATTGTAAGGGATGTTCTAAAAGTCACCTTCCGTGATTAAAATTGAACAAAAAGTTTGTAAAATAGCAATAGAAACACAAAAAAACGTACTCGTATTTCCGCCTATTAAGGAAACACCCGACAGTTAATGAGCAGAGGGCGTATCACGTGACATGACGTCATATGTGCCTGTTGCTGATGGCTTCCTCTTTGATTTTACCTCACACCTTAACAGTGTCCGTGGATTCTGAAGCAGTAAAAGATGTTCATTGTGTCATTTCTGAAATGGATGTTAGACCGTATCAATACGATCCGATTTTACATCTTGCAAGACAATCTTCCAGTGAAGATGAAGAAGAAGAATCAAGCGAAACGGAGGCATCGCTTGAGGTCAAAATAAATTTTTAAAAAGAACATATCATTTAACAAGAATACTATTTGTCAGCAAAATGTGATACAGTTCCAACCAGCAAACCCACCCGTATAAATATATGACCAGTCCCTAAGTAAGTGATTGCAGTTCCTTTTGTGTCAAATGGGTGACTGTAGGGTGTCAGGGATTTAAAAACAAAATAATTATGCTTCAGACAGGGTGAAAATAGAAATAATCTGCTACAAAATTACACTGGAGTTATTTTGTTGAAAGAAAATTAGGATCCTAGTTCTCATTAATAACGTATTAAGTCTCCATACAAGATCTCAGCCTGGTACAGCAGAGATAATATTCGCGACGCAGATAAGTTATTCCCCGAAAACTGGTGAATTATAAAATACTAGTCAGGACAATGTATGTTTCCCCAGTGTTTGTTTATGGAAATAGTTACATGGTACTCGGTCATAGCCTTAGAATGACATCTTGTCAGACAATGAGAATGCAGAACAACTTTCATGGCACACACTACTGACACAAGCGAGTCTGATGCCGATGTGCGTAATTGGACAAAATGGAAAACAATAATTTGCTGTTTTATTCGGCAATGTTTCGGGTAGACTGCAGCATCTAGGGCTCCAAATCGAAAAGAAAGTTATAGCGAAACATTTTCAAGCTCATGTGAAATCTCTTACTGATTTTGATAATATATATCTCATGGGTACCAGTCGAACTGCCCCAGCTTCAAATGCCCCAGCAAATTTGGTCATTCATTCTAATTTGGTCAAATTTATTTAAAATGATTAAATATATGCCGTAAATGCATAGTTTTTGTCATCTTTGATATTATGTTCTTCATATACCACTGACAGTAAGTTGTAACAGGGAATGATGGAGTATAAATGAATCTCGTGGGTACTTCTTCCTTCTTCAGCCTAGCTTTGGGATTTTCATACCCCATGTGTGCATGTCTCTTTCATATGCGTCCGATTCGGAGTGATCGGAGCATTTCTCCTGCCTAAATCTGTCTCTTTACTTGGAAAACGGAAGAAATGGTAGCTCTTTCCATTGTTCCCCAGGCAACGGAATACACCATCGTACCAGTTATAAAAACGACAGAAAAAACACGATTTGTATTACTGTAGCGCTTGTTCTTTGGCAATATGGCGGACGCTATTCACATATGACGTCACGAGCGGAAAGGTCTCGTGAGTTCCAGCGGAATATGCATAATGGCCGAAGCTCTGATAACAGAAACTGTTTTTCGCGATAAAAACCTAATAAACCATATTTTTTAAATAAAAATTGGGGTACATGTTTCTGATGACTTTATCTTTCACCAAGCAAATTATTGCAATTATTCTCCTTTAAATACTGGTGCAGATTCATCTGCACTGGAAACACATAGGCTCCCTGTTCAGTGTTATTATATATATGTTACAATCTCTTGGTGCCTCTGAAAGGCAAACCTGGGCTACCTATATGAAAGACATTTTATTCAAATTGGATTTGGTTTTGTACGGCTCTCCCAGGATATTGGTAATAGTAAGATACTTATGTAAGAATTTAAGCTTCGTTTGTCAGATAACCTTAAACAGTCATGGTATACCTCTATTGAAAGTCTCTCCAAATCCTTTATCTATAAACATTTTATAAGTCATTGCTAAATGTAGAAACCTACTTAACATTACCTATCTCCCCATGTTAGCCAAATTTAGATGTAGTAACTTTGGATTAGCTGTAGAAACTGGAAGATAATACTAGTGTATCAATTGCAGAAAGAGTTTGCATTTTCTGTAGAAGTAATGATATAATATCTACTGAAGTTGAAATTCACTTTTTTGGGGGGTCTAAATTGTATGATGTGTTGTTGTATTACCACCGTTTTGTCACGCCATTGTATTTTCCTCTGACAAACGAAAGCTTTTGAGAAATGTGCCGAACAGCAATTGTATAAGAAAACACGAAGCGAACCCCCAAAGAGAAATGCCTCCAAAAGATTCTTTGCCTGGTCCTATTTTGATGTCCGCTCAAGAAATATCAACATTTAGTACCCCGTCGTTTTAGTATATATAGGCTCTCATATAATATCCTATATATATATATATATAGATATATGACGTTACCACTGATATAGTTGTTTCCTAGTTTCACGATCTTGTGGTAAAGGCATCTCCTTTATCGTCAGTCTTTGATTTAATACTCAGAAACAGTACATATATACTACTATACTATATTGGAGAATATGTCTTTCATGCAGAGTCTCCTATGCAGTGATTCCCTTGATTTTCATTTTAGAACATAAAATGAAATATTTTTCATTCTAAGAAGTTTGTTTATGAGGTTTCAAATCGAAATGACATCGGAATATAATTGTTTTCCATGGTGTGTTAGAGAGATTCCATGTGTTCCTGTTCCTGTTTATCCGCATGACGGCCTCTTATGACACTTCTGATGTGTAGGCTAACGAATGGTGTTGTGCACCAGATCAAGTGTCCACTTAGAACCCCGACTACTAAAAGTAGTACGTGGGAATAATTTCGAATTTGATGATTCATATAAAGATGATCTCTCCTGATTTTCCAGTTTTTACTTTTTGTAACAGTAGAACAATAAGGTTTTATGTTATTGTGTATTCTGCTCTTTTTCCTAAGATTCAAGTTTGTTTATGGGTTTCCTACCTATCCTACCTTCCTATCTTGCCTTTCTTCAGCTCTCAGTTTCACTCCCAACTCTATATTCTACCACTCGCTCACCTAACATACCTGGCTCTGTCAACCTAATTCTTACTATCTCAAGGCTTTACCTAAATCCCACAATACCTATCAAGTTCACTGTGCTCTACTCCAACTCTCATTCTTTTCTTATTCTGTCACCCAATACAACTTTCACCTATCTCCTGTAAATCCCAATTTTCTATCCATCTCACTCAGCCTCTGGTACCATCTAACTAAATTTACCTATCCTACCTTGTTTCTGTAAATTTCACTTCTCCCACCTATGTAGTCCCAACACACACTCCATTCTCTTGCCTACCTAACCTTAACCTACCTGTCTCACTTCCAATCCCAATTTCTCATAAATTTGCATGTATCACTTCATGTCCATCTCTAGTTTCTTACTAAACCTACTCCTAAGATGATCCAAATTTTTAATACCTTACCTATCAACGTTTATGCTACTTTAATATATTATCTCTGCATCACTTCAAAATCTAGTCTACTCTATGTTCCCAATAAACCTAATTTCACATATCTGCTTCTCACTTCCTGGACTTAAATTCCTCCTGACTTACCTAACTCCCAACTCTCACCTATCTCTGCCTCTTGCCTTCCATCATTCTATCTCTCAGGGTCAACCTTACTCTACCTCATTTCACTGGACTCCAACTACCTATCTCAAGGATCTATCCCTGTCTACCAAGTCTAATTCCTATCCATCTCCTGTCCATCCACCACTTCCTGGATCAACTTGCCTGTTTCTCCATTCTCTCTACCTGTTCTCGTTTGGCCCCACCATCCTAACCCCAACTCTCTCACCACTCCCCTCCACCTCCTATCCTGGGTTCTCACCTATCTCTGCCTCTCACTCCTAACTACCTTATTCTGCTCTCATACTCTCGACATCCATCCTGCTCACTCCACCTTATTTTTCACCACTGTGCCCACCTCCACCCTAGTTTCCTCACTCCATTCCACCTTCGCTCCACCTTAACACCTCCACCTATGTCTGCCACCTAACTCCAATTCACCATGCTTTCCACCTACACCTATCCTAATTCCACCATCCAGTCAATACCTTAAACCTAATCCTACCTAAGGTCTCACTCCAACCTAATTTCACCTATCCATCTCCCTGCTAAACCACCACACCATCTCCTGCCTCACCAACTCCATCTTCCTTCTCACTCTTTCACTCCATCCATCCTCCTCATCTACCATTCCTATCCACCTGCCTCTCCTTAAACCAACCTCACCTATCCCCTTCACCAACCTAATTCCCTGTCTCTCCTGACCAACTCTAACCTCTGTTCTACCTCACCTTACCCGTCTTGTCCTGCTTTGTCATTCCCAATTATCCTGGCTCACCTAACCACCTCTACCTATCCATGCTCTCACCATCCTAATTTCATTCTGCCCAGTCTGTCTGCCCCACAACTGTCTCCTGTTCTGCCTCATTCATAACCTAATCTCTACCATCTCCCTGTCCGTCCTGGGTTCCTCATACCATCCTAATTCTGCCCACTTCCTCATCTCACAAACCCACCTTGTACCTTCTGTCTCACAACCCAATCTCACTCCGGCCTGTCACCTTAACTCCAACTCACCTATCTCCTGCCAGCCTCCCCCTCACCCATCCCCGCCTCACCCATCCCGCCTCACCCAACCCAATCTCACCCATCCCCGTCTCACTCCCAACCCAATCTCACCTGTCCCCGCCTTACCCAACCTCATCCCAGCCTCACCCAACCCAACCTGATCCATCCCCGTCTCACCAACCCAATCACACCTACCCCCGCCTCACCTAACCCAATCTCACCTACCCCTCCTCACCAAACCCAATTTTACACATCCCCGTCTCACCCAACCCAATCTCATACCAACCACATGTGAGGTATAAACTCGACCTAAGAATTCCACAGGACAGAATCCGTAGACTAATTCAGCCTGTGCCAAGGTAAGGAGCGGTGGTAACAGAACACGGTGGTCACAGCAGGAAGTGATAGCAACTGTCCCACGTGGACGTCCGTGTCTTGGACAAAGTATTTCCGTCTACAGAACATGTGACTATCACCATGCTAGGCGATCCCTGTATCAATCACATTAGATGAAATATGCACATTTAATTGAAAACAACAGTTGTTGTCAATTGAGCCACTGATGGATATTTCTTCAGTTGAAGAGTGTATATGTCGAGATGTCACCACTTGGATACGTTCTAAAACTAAAGAGCAACGGCGCCCCGCAAATAATAAATTCCACAGGTTTCTGTTATGATACAGATGCAAATGCTCTTCACCTATAACCCTCTGTCGACAGAAGACAAGACGTGTGCCGCTGCCTGCGGGACCTGTCAGATCAACAAGTACGGTTGCGTGGCGGGATACGCCGTGCCTGACGTCACAGACTGTAACCAACCCAACGAGAATTGCTGTGTACGCTACTGGACTGGACCATGTAAGGGTCACGTGTAGACATGGTTTGATGTTCATGTTGACGTTTATGGCGATATAAATATGGAACAAAATTACGCTGTTGATGAATTTCGTTTTTAGTCATTAATTATCTTTTCAAAATACATCGGGGGCGATGGGGTAACATAGGGGTTACAGCGTTCGCTCGTCACTCCGTAGACCCAGGTTCGATTCCTCACATGAGTACAATGTGTGAAGCCCATTTCTGGTGTCGTGATATTGCTGGAATATTGCTGAAAGCGGCGTAAAACCAATCTCACTCACTCACTCACTCAAAATAAATCGAAAGATTAGTGATGTAAGATATTCCAAAACAAACAAGCATCATATTCACTGTGAATCTGGCATCGACAACCCCTAAACAAGAACTACTCACACTACAAAGGGGCGCAACTCTGAATAGTCGGCGCCTGAGAATAGTCGGGGTGCCAGGGAAGATATGATAAACAGCATACAGTACTAAAGTTACTTATACTTATTCCTAGGTGTTGTATAATAATTACTTGTGTACATTAATAAATACCTGTGTTTTGAAATTACAGGTCCTGGAAAATAGAACGACAACATCAGAATCCTAAAAGGCGTTGATAATACTTCTTTCGCTAATAAAAGAATGCTATTCAATCGCTTTACATATTGCTGATGTCACATTCCTGGCAGGGTGAATGTCATCTTACTCTGAACGTAAGAAATGTTTTTATGGTTCTTAATCTGGCGCGATTGTTTGAAGCAGTTCCGATGTTCACTTGCCAATATGAAATACGTCCTCGCTATTTGGTCGTTATTTGGCTTGACTCGGAATAACACGCGTACGAGTTGGTCCGCCTCTTACGACCAACATCCCGGAGGAACTAAGGAAGCATGATGCCTGAAAGCTCCGCTCTAGAATAAACTTTCTGCATACTCCAGAAGTGTTGCAGCTGCCAGTTGTCGTGTGTATGATGAAGACCTAGTGACTCGATCACAACACGAAAAACACGTGTCGCTTAGAGTCGGTGTCCAGTAGTTCACTTAAACTTAAAAGTTAATTTATAAGTTTAATATACATGTCTTTTTCATTTGTTTATTCCTGCAAAATTTATGTTGATCCGTTTAGTATGCAATTTTACGACACCGTAATCAAAATTTAACAGCGGAAAAAAGACTCACTGTAAATAACCCCATAGACATTCTTTCAAATTCAAACACGGTCCAAAAAACTCCAAACACTTTCCTTTAACACCAAACACTTCCCGTATCAGTGAGATCGATTTGTGGAACTGGGTCCAGGCAAATGTAGGCAATGAGAGGAAAGATACTGACCCTTGTAATACAATGGCATCAGTATTTCGTACAATAGTCTGTCATACAGACCCTGAAGCAAATATATCCAAGAAATCCCACGCAAGTCTAGAAAATGTGGCAAGTCTAGATTTCCACAGCTTCTTCTGAAAATGAAGAAAGTCTCAGGTCTCCTTTTAATTATATTTTGATTTTTGTCACTATGAGCCTTTTTTCTGTAAAATATGTTCATTTCAGAGACTAGTTGTTAGTCTATTCGTACAAGTAAACACTCTGTTACAGTGGGAAGTCTCAGCTACGTTTTTATTAAATATTCGAAAATTTGTTGTTTTAGGGATAAAAAGCCTCCTTCAGCTAAAAGGATTTAGAGTTACTGTATACTATTTACATGAATCCTTTTTATTAACGGTTGTTTCTTATAAAATAACCAATTTATGAAATTAATAAATGAACAGGCCGCTTAAGAAAGCAGTTCAAGGTGTTAGTAAATTCAAAGAAGCGCGAGTAAAAGCCTCATTTCGTGTCCATCCCCCGACCAGATATAATTTGTTTTAAACGTTTTCCTTTTATTGCGATACTTGCTTTATGGTACCACTTACTATAACTGACGTATGTTGAAGGGAAAATACAACTTGAAGCAATATCAGTCAGAGCCTGATATGCCACTCTGAGACAATTTCTAAATACTAAATAGCGTAATCGTGTGTCTGTCTGTCTCTCTGTCTGTCACCCGTGAAGATCCGGGTTAGAATTGATCTTCAGTAACCCATGCTTGTCGTAAGAGGCGACAAACGGGATCGGGTGGTCAGGCTCGCTGACATGGTTGACACATGTCATCGGTACCCAATTGCACAGATCGATGCTCATGCTGTTGATCACTGGATTGTCTGGTCCAGACACGATTATTTACAGACCGCCGCCATATAGCTCAAATGTAGCTGAGTGAGGCGTAATAAAAACTCACTCATTCACTGAGTAGAAGTCAAAGGGACATCCCCTGATAACCTCAATGTTCAATTTCATGAAACGAATGATTGATTATTGTTTATTGAAATATATTATAAAAATAATATCCCATTTGCGTAGATCTCACTCACTCACTCACTCTGTCTGTCTGTGTGTCTCTCTGTTCCCAGGCAAATGTTATACGAGTGTCAATACCCCAGTCACGTTTCACAGAAATGACGAAAGAATAGAACTAAGACACTAGAATAAAAGGGGTTTTATCTTTTTCCAATGCTATATACACTAGACGCCGAAAGAAACGTTACCCTCCTACCTTTATGAATTACTGAAAAACTATCGAAGATATTTTAGAAGGTTTTAGTTTACAAGAAAGTTTAACAACACAGCTTTATGCAAATCACGAAAATAAATTCTCAAATGCATTCATATTTTGGTGAAATGCATCTTTTTCAGAAGAGTTAGATTGTCCTATATTCGTCCATGCCGAAATAAACTAATAATAGTGATTTTGACGTCCAAAAGAAAGGTTGAAATAAAATTCTGCTTTGGGACAATGATAAACCATTTAAAATCACCATTTTTCAACTATTAAAACACGAAACAACTGTTGTAGAGTGTGTAGAATTGTAAACTTATCATTGCTATAATTTCAGTCTTTTAAAACATTTTCTGCTAATTTGCATGAGTGAAAACAAGTGAAACGTGTCTTTGATATTGTGACAAAATGTTTAGGACCATCTAAAATTATCTTTGTTAACATTTTTGCTTGCAAAGTAACATTTTTCCATTTTCTGTTTACACATGGTAATATCAATCGCCAAAACGCAGCAATATTCAAGCAGTATTTACATCCATTTCACATGTAGAATGATTCTATAGGGTATTAAAAGAGAGCCTAGAAGACATGATCTGATACAGAAGTACGACAAATATGCCACGATTAACAGCTGAAGGGAGAGAAAGAGCCATTGGGATGGTGCAGATGGGGTCGACATACAATGCTGTTGCCAACGACCTCGGATGCCACCGTATCACGGTTATAAGACTTATTCAGAGCTTCGGACAGACTGGGGTCACCGTAGACAGACCAAGAAGTGGACGTCCACGCATCACAGCGCCAGCTGAAGATAGGTACCTCCGTCATTAAGGAAGGAGGGTAACGTTTCTTTTTGGCGTTTAGTGTATACGCAAATAGATAAATCCATTTTCTTTTCTTTTTTAATATTTTTTTACTCTTGTAAAAAATGATGAACACAGTGAAATTTAAATGAAGAGGCTTGAAATGTTCTTTAAAAGCGCGGAAAATCTCAATCAGGAAAGGCCCTATGCGTTACATCCTCGATAATGTCAAGAGTATACGTTCGATAAATCTCCACTAAGTACCAGGGTGGAGTGGAGTGGAGCGGAGTGGAGGAGAGCGGAGTGGAGTGGAGGAGAGCGGAGCGGGATTTATAGGAACGTATATCCTGGAGATTATGGAGTATGTATGTGTTAAAGCTTTCACAGTGTCTTTTCACTTATTTCTTTGAAACCACAAAACGAGGACCGATTGGTGTAAACAAAACATAATCAGGGCGAATGTTCGACTTGAAGCCAAAATCAGAGGTTCCTGGCACGTCTAAGGGACGAAACTCTTCCAAGCGAACTGCGAACGAAAACAGCGGTATGCTTGGTGCATGATATCACATGACCCGAGAACCACTAGCTGTGGTCGACATAACCAGATGGCATATAAAAAGGTTACTCAAAAAATATTGCAAGAATGATATAAAAAGCCACAATAAACAACAGCCATTCTTACTATCAACCCAGTGCACATGAGTGGAGTTTGTTTACCACTGACTTGAACAGCATTCACGGTGTGTCATCGTTAAGGTACAGTGAGTGAGTTTTAGTTTTACGCCGATTTTAGCAATATTCCAGCAATATCACGGCGGGGGACACCAGAAATGGGCTTCACACATTGGACCCATGTGTGGAATCGAACCCGGGTTTGGGGCGTGACGAGCGAACGCTTTAACCACCAGGCTACCCCACCGCCCCTGTTAAGTGGGAGGAAGAACCGAAGCAATGTATGTATTCAGTATTTGCAGCTGGGCGTAGGCGAAACCTACGAGTACGGATATACTGCGACAAACCTGGAAACAGAATCCGGGGAAATCTAGGGGTGGAATTCAAGGTTATATAACATCCGTACACACTGAAGGGGCGCAAGTCTGCAGTGCCGACGACTGGGCAATGCGTTCCCATTTTACGAATATAACTTTCTATACTATAATGTTTTTTCCTCTAAAAGGAAAGCGAATATGGGTAGGATTGGCCAGTGATATTCCGGTTGGTTTCCCAAAAATAAAAAACGTTTCCAGGACAACACAACGAATCTGACTAAAATTCATGGCATGACCCCAACATGAAATAGTATCAACATGAAGCAATTATACACTATACAACTGATCCATGACATGCATAGTATGCATTGGGAGTAATGCAAATCGGTAACACACATATATATCATACATGTGTTGCTGATTTGCATTCTCCCATGCGTTTCGCCGAACGTTCACAACCAGCTCCAGAGATTTATTACCTAGAACATGCGAGGCTCATGTGGGACATGCTCTAGTTGGAGTGAGTGAGTGAGTGAGATCTACGCAAATGGAATATTATTTTTATAATATATTTTAATAAACAATAATCAATCTTTTGTTTCGTGAAATTAACCATTGAGGTTATCAGGGGATGTACCTTTGACTTCTACTCAGTGAATGAGTGAGTTTTTATTACGCCTCACTCAGCTACATTCGAGCTATATGGCGGCGGTCTGTAAATAATCGTGTCTGGACCAGACAATCCAGTGATCAACAGCATGAGCATCGATCTACGTAATTGGGAACCGATGACATGTGTCAACCAATCCCGTCAGTCCTCTCTTACGACAAGCATGGGTTACTAAGGTTGTAATGAAGATCAATTCTGACCCGGATCTTCACGGGTATCGTTAATTGTATACTGCACAGTGAATCGTAGTTCGCCCAGGTCTTCTGTAGACCAGCCATTGTGGAATGGGTTGTAAGGGCTGAATACATAATACAGAATCCATTTGAAAAATTATTAAACTTTTTATTCCAAGAGAAGTTCTACTCTGGTTCATCGTGACGATTATATCTGTTTCCTTTTAGACTGACTGACTGACTGAGTTTTGGTTTTCGGCGGCTTTTAGCAATATTCCAGCAACATCACGGCGGGGGAAACCAGAAATGGGCTTCTCACATTGTACCCATGTGGGGATTCGAACCCGGGTCTTCGGCGTGACGAGCCAACGCTTTAACCACTAGGCTACCCCACCTCCCCTTCTTTTTAGAAATAACCTCAGTATATTTATATATTTATCCAGACATAAACGTAAAATCTGATGTGCAGATTGTGTAATTCATGTCTGGTTTTATGTTTATGACCCCTTAAACGCTAAATCATATTTAAGTCAATTCTTATGAATTCATGTCAACTCTAACATTTTCACAGACTGCTTACAAATTTAAAAAACTGTCGACAACGGTGAAAATCAATGACGTCGTTCAGCGTAATTAATGCCACATATACCCATTTTATCATCATGCAATGTCAGGAAACAGAAGCTGGTTGGTGTGCGTGTATGTGTCAATCGTTCTGTTGCTGTGTGTCACTTGACTTGGTCAATTCAAAACTCTTTCTTTTTCTGTTTGACAAAGGAAAACAAAGGTGTTGAAAGGATGTAGAGCGCGGATTCCTTATTGTTCATTCTTTGGACACCAGCCTGTCTGCTTTACTCGTAGAAACGCGTAGGTCACCATGACATGACACTGGGCCATCTTGACCGACTAAACAACGTCTCCTATTTTATACGTGCTGACCTCATGAAAATATCGCCTAGACATTGGCAGTTCGATATTACATCAGACATCACTGGTTGGTGCGTAAATCAGTCAGTGTTAATCGGCTACTATATTTCAGTAACCTTTCATCAGAATTTTAATCATTAAATGCTACACTTGTTGCAGATAAGTGGCGAGATTGTTACTTGATATATATAAATTGTATACATTGTGTATGTGTGTGTGTGTGGGGGCGTGCGTAGGGGAGGGGCGGTCGGTGGAGAGTGAGGGTCAGAAAATGAAGATACTGTTTATACAATATCATAATTAACTATCGATTTTGGACAATTGAAATCGATTTTCAGTTTAGTTTTAGACGGAGTATAGGATACAAAACATCCAATTTTTCTTTGAAAGCAGCGAACAAGTTGATTTGCTCACATTACAGTTTGCTTATATTTGCACTGCACGCATGGGCAGTGAATGGCATCTATTCACGAATCACCGTAATGTGTACGCATCGTCACTCTCGTCAAAATTAGATAGGGTCCGGTTCGACTGACTGACTGACTGACTGACTGAGTTTGGTTTTACGCCGCTTTTAGCAATATTCCAGCAACATCACGGCGGGGAACACCAGAAATGGGCTTCACACATTGTACCCATGTGGGGATTCGAACCCGGGTCTTCGGCGTGACGAGCCAACGCTTTAACCACTAGGCTACCCCACCGCCCGGTCCGGCTCGAAGCAAGCCTTGGGTAGAAATGCAAGGCGAAGTGAAAAATATTTGCGAATGTCAATGTATAAATGGGTTAATGTATATTTTAGTGTTCGATGTATTATTTATAGCATGTTATTGTCCACTTATAATTTATAGCAGGCTAGTGTACACTTACAATTTATAGCATATTATTGTATATATACTTATAATTCATAGTATGCTATTGTATACTTGTGTTAATGCATAATTTTCTGTGTTAACATATAATGGTCGTTACAGTTCATGTCCATAGACCGACCAGTGGATGGGTTGATGTTTGTTGTTTAAAACGCCGCACTCAGCAATTTCCCAGCTGTATGGCGGCTGTCTGTAAATAATCGTGTCTGAGTCAGACAGTCCAGTGATAAACAGCATGAGCATCTATCTACGTAATTGGGAACCGATGACATGTGTCAACCAAGTCAGCGAGCCTTACCATCCAATCCCATTAGTCGCCTATTACAAGCATGGGTTTCTGCAGACCTTATTCTAACCCGGATCAGGGGCGTAGCTACCATTATAAAAAAAAACAACCGGGCTTACACATGATATTTGTTAAAAAGGTTAATATCTTCAATACTATCTATATATAAAGCTTTGAAACATATCGGGCTTACACGAAACAATTGGCTTGCTATATATACGCGCCTGCGGATCTTCACGGGTTTGGGTGGGTTGGAGGGTGGGTGGGTGGGTGAGTGAGTGCGTTACAGACATACGTTATCAGGGTTGAATATTGTACGGTTAAAGAATAAATATAAAAAATTATTATGGGCCATAGACACTGAAATTAGTGAAAAGAACATCATTGTCCAAGTCGCAACCTTTTCACTTTCAGTTTCCTTTCCGCCCAACCCTTTCTGTAATGATTTAGCCCTAAATGAAGCAAGCTTATGTTTCCTCAAATTCAGGTTCTGATTCCCATTCTCACTGGGGCTCCTTTTCAATTTAAAAAGAATTGTTTGGTTTTATCAAAATTATATAGGCTATATTCAGTGACTAAGCGTAGGCATAGTGAATTTCATTTGTCTGGATACATGGAATTTTTAACGGCTACACGGCAGCAGAAGAACGTTTTATCACGAAATACTGGCGTGATAGAGCATGTCTTACGTAATAGTCTTCAACATTTCCAATAATAGGTGGGTGCCACTCCCTAAATAGCCCCAGCAACAAGAGCCGGCGCAAATCAACAATATCACACCAATTATTGGCAATATTCACATACGCCAGCAGTTTACGTGATCAAACACACGAACTGAACCCGGAACAAATATCTCCACCCTCACAGGGTGGGGGGTTGGGGTTATATATTTGTTAAGAGGGATGTAAACATCGACATCTTCGCTTATATATAAATATCCGTTCTAACATCGACGACATCAGATGCAGGCGAAAACGCACGTAGGATTGTGACTTTGTGACGTCAGTCGATGAAAACAGCCAATCAGGGGACAGGGAATTCCCCATTGCAACCTCGTTTTAGCATTGCAGCATAACTTGAGTGGTGTATATATGCATATTGTCGGTGTAGGGCGGCTTAGTTCCTTAGAGGCGGTGTCTGGAACATAAGCGGACAGAGACACATAAAAGATCAAAATGCCGGAAAAACCGAGGGTTTATGTAACAAGGAGGGTCCCTGCCCCTGGGATTGAACTTCTAGAGACCGAATGCAAGCTGACATTTTGGGACAGCGATGAAGCTATTCCACGGGAAGAACTGATAAAGAATATCCCTGGATATGACGCTTTGTTTTGTATGCTTACAGATAGCATTGACAAGGAAGTTATTGAAGCTGCAGGTGAGCTAAATTTTAATATGTTTCAATTCAACTTTGATGCTTGAATTTAAAAAAATATTTTTAGATATATTGTAATTTTTTAAGCGTTATTATCAATTTATTATGCTTAAAATAGTTATTGGATCCAGAGACAGCGCATAGTGCTTCGTGTGTACACATAAAAGCCCATTTGTAATACCGTTTAATGGTTATCGCTATTTGATTTACCCAATAGTGAATATTCATTCCAAGGCTTGAATGTGACAGATGGTGTCTTTGCATGGGATATATTGTGTTTATGCAATATATGTACACACACATACATGTGAATTAAGGTCAACTGAAGGTTATGTAAGGGTAACATCAGTTCGATGGTATTATGAGTGTGTTGTGAAACCGACACGAGTCGCTGAACATCACGGACACAATTTTTTCTATGCTATTACTAAAAATTCTTTTCTCAAACAGAGAGACACCAGCAGTATATGCTTAGCTGTATCGGGTTATTGACCTGCTACTATTTAAGGGGTTTCAAACGCTGCTGCATTTGAACTAATCCAGCGCCCCCATAATCCGAACACTCCATTATGTGGACAATGTGGAAGTATAGGCCCAGATTTAACATGTATTCTCGTGTAAGGTGTGTGATTTGCGTTTTTCGAGAGGATTCATTAGCACAAACTGAGTGTCAAACAAAATGTCCGGTATAAGGGGGTTGCATTGTTCTGAAATCTAACTTAAATGGCAGACAGTATAAAACCTTTGTTTGGCTTTTGTAGTACGGACATCCGTTTATTTAGGGCAGGCGGTAAATTGTTGATATCATCACGTTTTAGATCAGGTTAGAAAGTTTCACTACGATGTGTGTGTGAGGTCAAGGCTATTAATTCACCAACGTATCGCCTCGGAAGTCTCGAGTTCACCTTGAAGTTGCACAAGGTTACATTCAGGCATTGCAAGGACGGTCTTAATTATGCTTAGTTGGGGCCGATTGGAAAATCGATAAAGCCCGCAGCGCGCACGATTTATCGTGTCGGTTTCACGCGGTGGAAGCGTGTAGAGCTTCGTTTGTAATTTCCTGGGGAGACAGAAAGTACCACGATAGAATTTATTTAGATAATATCTTTGGGTTTAACTTCCAAATTTAAGCGGAAATCTATCAGGAACTAGTCAGTGAAGTTGGTCACAAACACTATTCAACAGTAGTGAGGTACACTTGCACTCGGCGGCGAGTTAAACAGGAATCGGTCATACAGGGTGAACCTGACCACGTGCAACGATCTATATATAGCTCCATGGCTACTGAAGTCACTTATATAACATGGACAAGACTTAGGGATGTTTAAATGAAATGCATTTTAGAGCAGTTCATACATATATTATTGCAGACCAAAGATTAACCAACATTAGTTTATGTATATGTTATTAGACATATTTCTCCTTATTTTACTTTTGTTAGAACATTAAATTGTGTGATATGTTTTTGAATTATAATGTTCAAATAATAACCGTCCATCACTTCTTCCCATATATGTTTCCATGAGGTCCAAGTACATGACCCATTCCAAAAAGACAAAGAACAAAAGCACTTTGATTTATGTCATGTGATGACATTTTTATTATCAGAAAACCCAGTGTGATGTGACCCTGCTGTAGAGACTGTCCTAGTTTTGTATTCCCTCTCATCCACTGTAAAACAGACCCGTGAAGATTCGGGGTAGAATAGGTCCTCAGCAACCCATGTTTGTCGACCCGTGAAGATCCGGGATAGAATAGGTCTTCAGCAACCCATGCTTGCCACAAAAGGCGACTATGCTTGTCGTAAGAGGCGACTAACGGGATCGGGTGGTCAGGCTCGCTGACTTGGTTGGCACATGTCATCGGTTCCCAATTGCGTAGGTCGATGCTCATGCTGTTGATCACTGGATTGTCTGATCCAGACTCGATTATTTACAGACCGCCGCCATATAGCTGGAATATTGCTGAGTGCGGCGTAAAACTAAACTCACTCACTGTAAAACAATTACCGGTTCCTAAGCATGTTTAAATCCAAATCAGGCACACATACAAATGAGCCGATCAGTATTCGCCCCAGGAAGCTGACATGTGTTGGATATTCGTCAACATCCATTTGAAAACAAAGTTTGGTGATGCTGTCGCATTTCCTGTTATGACAGATACGCGAGAAACTTACATTTGACAGTCAGTTTTTTCAACCATGTACCTATTGTACACCTAGGGACGTCATGCTTCGTGCACGCGCTTCGTATTTCTGGGTATTTGGTTCTCAGGCATTTCAGGTCACTGATCATGAAACCTAAAAATGTTTGTCGTCGCATTGTTGAATCAGAATACTCGTTAGACAGGCTGACAGGACTTGTACCACGTGATCTCGAGCGTTGGGTTCATTCTATTCATGAATACTAGTTAACTTTGTCTGGTATATAGGTCAGTAGAGATGGGTGCTGACATTGCGAATATTTGGGTTTGGTCCATAGAAAATGTTTTTAATCATTGACAATAATCCATGTTCACCTTAATCAAGACCGATGATATATCAGAGATTTGCCACATGTCATGGTAATTCGTCAAAGAGTTGGGGCGGTGGTTAGTGCGTACGCTCGTCAAGCCGAAGACCCGGGTTCGATTCCCCACATGGGTGCAATGTGTGAGGCCCATTTCTGGTGTCCCCCGCCGTGATATTGCTGGAATATTGCTAAAAGCAGCGTAAAACCAATCTCACTCACTCACTCACCCAAGATTTGGGGCGTTGAGGTAGCCTGATAGTTAAAGCAATTGCTCGTCACGGTGGAGACCCAGATTCCGCACATGGGTACGATGTGTTAAGCCCATTTCTGGTGTCCCTAAAACATACTCACTAACTCAGCCAAATAAAGTAATGGATGAACGCAAATATGCTCAAGTTAGTATGTTCATTTACCGTATTGTATGCGCCTCCATAAATGGCAGCTTGTAAGTGCAATACTACGAATATTCCGCCATATAATTGTTTGACGTGTCAGGTCAAGGTCAGGGTCAGGGTCAGGGTCAGATCACTACCTGAATCCTGTAAAATTAGAAAAAAAAGGTAAAATGGCTTTTGACTGTTAGAATAGAGTAGTCTTCAAAGTGAGAATTACTTCATTGTTTCTCACTTTTTCTTCTCTGTTTAAAAATGTATTTCTATTTTTCCAAAGATTTTGACAATTTTTTCATTTTTCTACCTTTTTTTATGATTCTTTTAGTGATCCCCTTTTATTGGAGTGAGAGGTAATTAACATTTTCTCATTTTTACATACAGGCCCTAACCTGAAGGTCGTAGCAACGATGTCAGTAGGTTACGAACACATCGATCTGGAGGAATGTCGCCGTCGTGACATCGTTGTTGCCAACACCCCCCAACGTATCCACGGACAGCGTTGCAGAGCTGACTGTGTCCCTACTTCTCTTGACGTCTCGTAGATTGTTAGAAGGTGAGCGCTGCCAAGTTATTCCCACAGACCTGTGCAATCGTTGACGCAAGTAAACGATACGGGGAGACGAGACTGTTTGCTTGAAGGAATGCTATGTCGGCAAAACGCTTGCAGCTATTTCTGACTCATGAAGTAAACTGTTGCGGGCTGTCAAGGCTATCTGTGCAGGTCATCAACATGTATTTCTTTCTAGAAGGGAGTCTGTACAATAAATATTCTGGTGTTTTCTTTCGAGACACATATGTCAAAAACATTACGAATTTCTTCCATGTGCTAATCAAGACTGGCGCAAGGTCTTGGGTTTTCTTTTGAGACAATTGTGATTTTTGCTATAGTTCCATTCATTAGTACATTTTCTTACCATGTACTGATGAAGAGTGGCATAAATCAACTCTCTTACGTTTTGTTGGACTATTTCCCCTAGGTATTCCTGGTTTAATATACTATGAGGCATCAACCTATGTTTGTAATTGTGACTTCATACACGGGGTTGTCATTGTTGGTGTCTTGGACATTAGCGCGTCATTGTTCCATGACGTCATGGATCAGGTTGTCAGGGTTGGTGTCTTGGACATTAGCGCGTCATTTTTCCATGACGTCATGGATCAGGTTGTCATTGTTGGTGTCTTGGACATTAGCGCGTCATTGTTCCATGACGTCATGGATCAGGTTGTCAGGGTTGGTGTCTTGGACATTAGCGTGTCATTGTTCCATGACGTCATAGATCAGGTTGTCATTGTTGGTGTCTTGGACATTAGCGCGTCATTGTTCCATGACGTCATGGATCAGGTTGTCATTGTTGGTGTCTTGGACATTAGCGCGTCATTGTTCCATGACGTCATGGATCAGGTGTCAGGGTTGGTGTCTTGGACATTAGCGTGTCATTGTTCCATGACGTCATGGATCAGGTTGTCAGGGTTGGTGTCTTGGACATTAGCGCGTCATTGTTCCATGACGTCATGGATCAGGTTGTCAACGTTGGTGGATTGGACAATAGCGTGTCATTGTTCCATTGTGAGGGTTGCTGTATTTGGATAATAGATTGTCCTTATAACATGACGTCATGGATCGTGTTGTGAAGGTTGGTGTCTTGGACAATAACCTGTCATTATAACATGACGTCATGGATCGCGTTGTGAGGGTTGGTGCTATAGCACTACATGAAAGGATACCCTGATGCCAGTGTTTAAGAAATACACTTCGCTCTACCACCATGTATAGTGTTATAAAACACACTTTTGCCCTGAACTATTATAGTTAAAGCACGAGGACGCTTGCGTCCGAGTGCTTTAACGTTATAATAGTTCAGGGAGAAAGTGTGTTTCATTACACTATACATGGTGGTAGGGCGAAGTGTATTTCTTTTCTAAGATGCCAAATTTAATACTTTCTAAAGATAATTACGATTAATTTAAGGCAGAAAACAAACGACGGTGTCGGTGACCTAAATTAAGAATCCTCGAACAGGGCTAACTGGCGCGCTGTTCTATTGATGTGTCTGCCCCCTACGTTAAGACGAACGTTACCAGAAAAAAACAAATGATAACAGTTTGATGACGGTTTACGTTCGGATTAAATATCTTCTCTGAATTATTTTAGTTACATCTGTCATTAACGTAAACCATATGGGGCAATATGAACGTTGCATTTCTACTACCAGCGTAAGTTTAGATCAGTACATCCAGAGGAAGTTGAGTAGTCAAGCGACATTCACAATTGCATTGTGGGAATGTAAACATTACGAACGTTACCGTGTCGCTGAAAACTTGTGCGTCGAAATGACACATTTTAACCGTCGTAAAACATAAACATAATGTTTCCACCAGTGATGTTAGCTGCGTGAACCAACAGCAAACCAAGAAACTGGATGCAACGTTGAGTTTACTGTAGGAGGCCGTACGAGGCGATGACAACTGACATGCATCGTGACGTCGCTTACATTGTGACGTAATGTAAAATGGTTCGATTACAAGGGGGCACTCTAGAATGGCGCAGTGACGGGATAACGTCATTCAATTGTTACGTCATCAAAAAACTATACCTTTATTGTCTGATAATGTATTTGTTTTCGATTGTTCTAACCGTAAGGCATCTTAGAATTTGCGTTACAAGCCAGTGTGGAATGTGTGTCAATCAAACATTGGTGAGTTATTGTGATCTGATTGTTTCAGGTATCCAGGCGGTCAAGTCTGGAGAGTGGGGGCCATGGAAACCGATGTGGCTGTGCGGCACCGAGATGTCCAATAAGACCCTGGGGATATATGGCCTTGGGAGAATAGGATACGGAGTCGCTCGGCGTCTGAAACCATTCGGAGGCAAGAAAATCATCTACAATGACGTCGTGAAGGTGAGCTACGCCGACGACATTGGCGCTGAATACGTGTCCTTCGATACCCTTTTGGAGGAATCTGACTGTATCTGCATCTGTTGTAATCTGACGCCACAGACAAAACACAAATTCAACGCTGAGGCATTCAAGAAGATGAAGAAGACGGCAATATTGGTCAATTCCGGAAGAGGCGGAGTTATCCAGCATGACGACTTGTATGAGGCTCTCGTCAACAAAGAGATCACAGCTGCCGGTCTGGACGTCACGGAACCAGAACCTCTACCAGCCGATCATAAGTTGGTATCCCTCAACAACTGCATTATTCTGCCACACATGGGAAGTAATACATGGGAGTCGAGGAATAGCATGTCTCTGACGACCGCTAAAAATATTTTATCGGTGTTCCACAAGGAGAAGGTGTTCGGACAAGTTTCGTGTAATTAATCAAACTGGTCGCTTGTCCCTCTTTAATCTGTCGCTACGCAGCAATCAAGGGGTGCCAGTTAACCTAGATGCTTTATGGCCAACGCTCAAGGTGGAGAAATGAATCATCAATTGTTAGTTTGTTTTACAATCTATTAACTTCCCCTATATACTGTTATCGTGCAATGGTTCTGTTTAGTGAAGATGTATGTTTCGCCAATCTCATTCAGACGAAATCCTATCTTTGGCAATATGGAGTGAAATCGTTTCTAAATTTGGTTTTTGAAAAGGACCATTTTAAAGTTTTATTGGACCTTCACAAGTGGTTCATCTGACGTGACCAAAGCAGACTTTGTCACTTATCGACAGATAGCGGTTCAGATATTCTTGAGATTCTTTGTTTTGGAGTCGTTTTGTTTGTATTATGTGCGTGTATGTGTAAACTATTGCTAGCTTTGAACACAAATATTCATCAGCATTATATATGAAGGCAATGTTTTAATGTTCGCTCCAACCTTCCGTGAACTGCCTGTGGCAAACACTTTGTTACAATCCAGAGACTTGTGCTTGTTTAAGCACTGTGTCCCGTCTAGGTTATATTTTTTGGTATTTTCTGTTATTGGTAAGAGTCAACGGTTTGTCTACACCAAACCAGGGCTTTCACTATAGTGGTAATACACCTCGTTCCAGCATTACTTGAGGCTTAAGCGCCGTGGTATGACTGGAATACTGCTACTCACTCACTCACAGAACCAAGAGCATATATACTAGACCGTAGACGCGCGCTTTCATTCAAATTACAGAATGAATCCGTTGTCCTTGACATTGGTTTTGTCGAATGTACCAGCAAGGTCAGTTCTTTAGGCAGGTTTTCTGTAGTGAGAGAGTGAGTGAGGTAAAGTTTTACTCTGTTTTAAGCAATATTCAAGCGATATCACCACGGGGAGCACCAGTGTTTTCTGTAATCAGAACAAAATGTTAAATTGCTTTTATTCGTGTAGGTCAACGTTAATTAGATTGATATTTTCAACCTGCAACATCAACGCTGGTTTCGCTTATCAGAAAATTCGTCAAATTTCAAGTTCAAGGCCGATGAGTTCAAAAACTTAGTTTACGTGTCCCGGACTGGCCCGTAAACATCAGTGGGTGGGTCTTCATTCTGCACAGTCTGAAATATTCCATTGAGCACTAGTCTCGAAGAAATGTGGATAGTTCTCAGAAAGCCTTGAATTGAATGTTCATACCGATCTTGTCTGTAAAACTGATGTCTTCAGCTACAGTCAAACACCGTCGTGTCGAGCTGACAGTTGCCTCGAAGTGAAAGCTTGGTCCCTTCGTATTCTTTCTTTTTAAATCTTCGGTTATATCGAACCTCTGATAACTCGAAGGATTTACGAAGGGCCCTTCAACTTCGACACAACGGTGTTCGTATTAACATTCCCAATATGTTTTTCTCCGGTGCAGTCGCCAAATCCATGTCTGTTTCCGTAACTAAGCTAGCTGCCAATGTTGTTATAGTACACCAATGTTTTAACGGTTATTAGTTGTTTCAACCCGTCCCCATACGTCTATTTTTACGAGGCTAATGAGCCTATGATTGTCTGTGATCATTAACTGAGTTACCCGGCCATAAGTCACATAAATGGTCGGAATGCCTGTTTGAAAACAATTTCAGTTATAGAAGGGGATATTCAACCTCCGTGTAATATGAAAACAATAGTCAAACTTTTTACCGGGAAATAATCAACAATACCTACCGGTTTTGCACACGTCACGGTGTACATAGTCCACGCAAGTCGGCTAGGTCTACAAGTTTAAGTATAAAGGATATATTTTTAGACAACTTGCCAGTTCCCACCTATCGTTTACTATATCACTATGTAATGAATGCAATACCGTTGACATTTATCACATCTGTTATATGATTGTTAATGTACAATTTCCAAAATGTTTGGAAATTTTGTTACGCCATGTATTCGAAATGCTATGAGTAGAGTTCGATAGATAGGAAATATTATTATTATTATAATATTCTATTTGTTTGCTTGTATGTTTATGTTAAACTGACCAGGTTATACCGTTTAATTTACGACCTAGGGGAAATAGGAACTTGCTTATTAGGGAGTTGTTTTGTATTCGTTATCCAGACATTCCTGATTGTGTTTAGAGGCGGCGAAGTAGCCAAGTGGTTAAAGCCTTCTCTCGTCAGGCCCAAGACCTGTCCGATACCCAACATGGAGTTTTTCCCGCCGTCATAATGCTAATTTGTGCTTTAAACCGATTCGTATTTTCAGCGAATGTTGTTCAACAGTCGGAAAGTTTCTTTAAGTTTTGGGGGACAAATATTCAGATTGAAAATTATCATTTTAAAACATTATATCACGTGGGCTTAACGAGAGTAAACGGAAAATTGACTCGAGCTTTGAAACAAGGATATATACATTTATATTTAGGTATGTGATCATTCTGTTCGGACTATTGAAACTTTTTAAATTAGTCAGCATACCTGTTAGTTCGGTCCTAGAACAAATTTTAGACTTGTTTGTCCAGTCCAAGAAAATAACCAAACGCATTTTATGAGAATTTCCATTTCGGTGTAACAAAGTTTTAATACTATTTTAACATCTGTATTTTCGCATGTCTCACTTTTCTATTAATCACGTTTGATTGTGTTTAACGTGACATGTTGACTAGTCACTTCGTTGTAAAATAAATAAATAATAAAATATTACTTGAAGCTTTTCTGCTTTGTTCTTTGACTAATTGATTTGTATTTGTAAACAAGGCGGGGGCGGTGGGGTAGCCTAGTGGTTAAAGCGTTGGCTCGTCACGCCGAAGACCCGGGTTCGAATCCCCACATGGGTACAATGTGTGAAGCCCATTTCTGGTGTCCCCCGCCGTGATGTTGCTGGAATATTGCTAAAAGCGGCGTAAAACCAAACTCAGTCAGTCAGTCAGTGTAAACATGGCGACCATTTTAGTTCACATGGGCGCGCTAATCTTATTAAAATCTGACCTAAAAAAGTTAGTCTGAGTTTACTACTCCAATTTGAGAAATCATTTCCCGAATAAACTGAAATATACTACAAAGAGGGAGTATGGGAACACCCTATATTCGTTGAGTTTGAGTGAAATGAAACATTGTCAAAACCAGCAAAAACAAGGGTGGTGAAAGAAACCAGCACCATGTTTGATTTAAACTTGTGACACAAGCTGCATGGAAAGTCTTTCTGTAACATGCACTAGGCTGTTGTGTTTGGGCGTTTATAGAATCGCTTGCTTCACTGCATGTTCCAACATGTCGTTTAAAGTTCAAAGGGTGTTCCCATACTTTTTGTTTGAAGTGTAGATAGTTGAACTCAGCTTCAGTCGACTATTTGGGTTTGGTAGATATCTTATTGTAATGAGATTGGTCGGCGTATGTGTGTGATTCACCGAGTAGGCGACATCTATATACGTGTATGAGGCTATAGCACACAGGGGTTCGAATCCCTGTTTGGACAGTAATTTTTAAAAATAACAAGAAGACAAAGTCATCAATATCCCCCGCAATGGCAAAATACTCTTCATGATTATGTCTACGAGTTATGATTATGTCAAATATTTAGGTGTGTATATAGAAAAGTGGAAGGAGAGCCTTGAAAGGAGCATTATCACCAATTTCAGTCTAAGTCAAACTTGTTGCCATGGAAACGCCAAAAATATTTTATTCAGAATTCCAAAACTACCAAAAGGCACCAGTACACCGCCATACCAATCTATGTGCCAAATTTGGTGAAGAAATAGTGAACGGTTTCAGAGTTCTGCTCCGGAAAAGAGCACAACCACCAATTTCAGTCTAAGTCAAATTTGTTGCCATGGAAATGCCAAAAATATTTTAAACAGAATTCCAAAACTACCAAAAGGCACCAGTACACCACCAGACCAATCTATGTGCCAAGTTTGGTGAAGAAATAGTCAACGGTTCTAGAGTTCTGCTCCGGAAAAGAGCACAACCACCAATTTCAGTCTAAGTCAAAGTTGTTGCCATGGAAACGCCAAAAATATTTTAATCAGAATTCCAAAACTACCAAAAGGCACCAGTACTCCACCAGACAAATCTATGTGCCAAGTTTGGTGAAGAAATAGTGAACGGTTTTAGAGTTCTGCTCCGGAAAAGAGCACTACCACCAATTTCAGTCTAAGTCGAACTTGTTGCCATGGAAACGCCAAAAATATTTTATTCAGAATTCCAAAACTGCCAAAAGGCACCAGTACACCACCAGATCAATGTATGTGCCAAGTTTGGTGAAGAAATATTGAATGCTTTTAGAGTTCTGCTCCGGAAAAGACAAATGTGCACGGACGGACGGACGGACGGACGGACGGAGTCCATTTTAATACCCCCCGCAAAACGCGTTGCGGGGGATAAAAATCTAAATTTTGGCAACCCTATATATTTTTTTTTATGTCATGAATAACGTATATTTCAAATTGGAACGAAACCGGTGAAGAAATGGATTTTTTAGAAAATTCTCCCGCTACACTCATTATGTCATTCCCCATATATGTAATGAGTGTCGCGGGAGAATTTTCTAAATTTTCCCTCCCTGCAATGATAAGCCCTAAATGAAGCAAGTCAAGATTTCCTCAGGTTCTGAATCTCTGGTCTCCCTGGGGCTCCTGTTCAATTTATATGGGTTTGTGTGTTACTATCAAAATTATATACATTCAGAGACTGAGCGTTAGTCTAGGTGCTTGTAAGAGCGCGCGTTAGTTAGGTCGGGACGCTACCGGTTTGAAAGTGCTAGCCAACTGATATTGTATACCCAACAGTGCACGCAAACGGAAACAACAACTGCTGTCTTGTAGGATCTTATAATATGACGCTGTATATCCAGGTCTAGCATTTCGATAAACCTTGACCCATTATTGTGGTTCCACAGGCCCGCATGTCTTTGAGAGGATTAAAGATTTTACAGTACAGTAAATCGTGATTTATGCTGGGAAGCATTTGGAGTCGGGGGTCATCTCAATTTAAAAAAAAAAAAAATTAAAAATCTTTAATCCTCGCAAAGACACGAGGGCCTGTTTGTGGTTCTGGCGATCACAAATCACCCACCCTTGGCTTCTCAACATGTGCAGTGTAAGGATTTAAAAAAATTACAAACCAGCCTGGTTTCCTGGGCATGCTGCGCTGAGGCTTCGCTGCAGCGCAGCATACCTAGGGAACCAGGCCGGTTTGACATGGTGCTCCTCCTTCAGTCTAAATTTTCTACTTCAAGGACGTTATCATGCTGAAGTGGACTGAAAAAAACACAAAGAGATCATTATATTTATCTCCGCCATATATGTTTTTTGGTTCAACTGATTACAGACAGATTGAGACTGGTTTGTTCTATTTCAAACATGGGGTCAAGGTGACCCTATAGAAGGTCAACGTAACCTTATGACATCCTTGACCTCATAGACGCATAACAATAAGTTACCTGCCCATCAATCCGTCACCGGTAATCCAATATATGACCGATAGCAGTGTAGGAAAGATAGCCCGTCCCAACGTCCGAGACGGATGAATTTTGTGGTAAAAAAATATCTAGTCCGTCCTCACGTCGGGTCAATTTTAGCAAACCAATGACATATATATAATGATTATAACCTTTTTGAATATTTACTGCCGAAGGTGTTTTATTTATATTTGGAGGACAGGCTAGATTTTGGCAGGGCTGGTAAAAAATTTGACCTGCCAGTCCTGTGGACAGGGTAGATTTTCTACATCTTTCCTACACTGCCGATAGGTCAACGTGTAACCCTTAAAACCTTTCCCGTTAACGATTTCACAGTTAGATATTTCTAGAGCTTATAGCTGATATAAATATATGCGAACCGCGAATTTGAAAACATAAACGTAGCTGATTAAAAACAGCCAAATCATCAAATCTATTAAGAAATCAATAGGGGCTGCGGGTGGGTGTCAAAACCATCAGAGCCCTATGTGGAACCCGAAGAAGTTCAACGTGCTCAATGAAGAAATTCAAGGACATCAATTTAGCTCGGACAATGGTTTAGTGTAGTTTGGATCTTCATTCTCAGCTCTCTGGGGACCATACAAGCTGTTTCAGAGGTGCTAGAAGGTTAAAGCTCACCAGTTACCTTCTCAACTTTAATATCGGCTTGGTTCCCTGAGTATGCTGTGCTGCGCTGAGGTTAAAAGTCTCACTTTACCTTCTCGTCCTATCGGGTACCCATTCAGTGTTAGGCGAACATGTGCTTTAGTGAAGGGAAGGACTGAAGCCCCTTAGAAATTCTGAGAGTCCAAACCATCCAAACTCTGCGACTCGCTGTGGCAAGGAGTGGGCGAGCGAGTTTAGTTTCACGCCGCTTTTAGCAATATCGCGATGGGGGACACCAGAAATGGGCTTCACATTGTACCCATGTGGGGAATCGAACCCGGGTCTTCGGCGTGACGAGCGAACGCTTTAAGCACTAGGCTACCCCACCGCCCCAACTGTGGCCAGAACACGGTGCCACCTCATTGTAACCCGTTAAAAGGATCCTGATGCATGCAGTCTGGACAATTGCTAATGTGTTGCCATGGGAACGATCTCCATCAGACATTTTTGAAAGAAGACAACAAAGTTTATTTGAAAATATATTTATTACCCTGTACATGAGAAAGAAGCAGTATCTGTAAATATGGCAATACACCGATCATGTAAATAGATCCCATTTTCAAAACCTTTTCATCAGTTAGATTCCTTTGATAATTCGTCGTGACATTTCTTGAGATCACGGACAGCGATGTCAATGTCGTTTTTCGATGTCTCCCTCCCGACAGAGAAGCGTAAAGCATTTCTGGCAATGTCTTCGGGAATACCAATGGCCAAAAGGATAGGAGAGGCTCTGGAATATAACAAGATATAATCATTTCATGAATAGTAATTGTCTATTAGCCTTGATGCATCAACAGATGTCGGATATATTTCGTAGCAATTAAGGAACACTGAATACCAATAGATCGGTGCCGTGCTGGGTTCTACCACACCGTCGCTTTAGGCAATATCAGAAATCGGAACAGGCTAAGAACACCAGAAATCGCCTTCGCACTAACGAACCAAACCCAGGTCTTTGGCGAGGCGAACGAGCGCTTCAACCACTCGGCGAACTAGCGTTTAAACCATGCCGTCCCCACACAACTCCTAATGAATGCAGAAAGTTGGGGGCTCGGGGATGGCATTTAATGTTGGGCGGGGAAGGGGCCCTGGTTTACTGTTTAATACAACCTTTATTTTCCGTCCAAGTTCCAGCAACAAAATCTTTGGGCGGCGTTAATCAGCCATATCGTTATTTCCCACAACATCTGACATACCCAGTGTTCGATTCACGTTCATATTTTGAACCTCGCAGACAGTCGACGCAGGAACATTTTGCTTCGTTTTTGAAAAAAAAAAATTGCAGGTCCCTAATCTCTTCTGCATCCTCAGGAAATGGAGGATAGAAACGGTCGGGAAATACATAGTGAAGACAAGACCGCTATTCGAACTAACCTGCGCTGTTATGTCATGACATATCGGGTCACTGAAACAACGTTCCCAACTCAAGTTTATCACACAAATCTATCCCATGACCCCCTAATTACAAGATTAAAAGCCTGGGAGTGATACAACGCCTTCATAACAGCGTCTAGACATGCACAACCGACCTTGGTGCTGATAAACAAACTCAGGTTTCAGAGACTGTGACACACTTTCAAAAGCTAACACGTGATTCATTCCAAAACAACTCTGAGTAGACGAACCAAGAGATACAGGACAGATCCAGACACTACATTACAGGATTCATTGCGTATTTTTATAATATATTTCAATAAACAATAATCAGTCTTTCATTTCATTAAATTTAACATTGAGGTTATAAGTGGTTGGCTCTTTGATTGGTTACTGAGTATTAATGAGTGAGTGAGTTTAGTTTTACGCCGCACTCAGCAATATTACAGCTATATGGCGGCGGTCTGTAAATAATCGAGTCTGGACCAGACAATCCAGTGATCAACAGCATGAGCATCGATCTCCGCAATTGGGAACCGATGACATGTGCCAAACAAGCCAGCGAGTCTGACCACCCGATGCCGTTGGTCGCCTCTTACGACAAGCATGGGTTACTGAAGGTTCATTCTAACCCGGACCTTCACGGGTTGAGTATTAATGAAACTATTCAAAGTGATCAAAGTATTAATGAAACTATTCAAAGTGATCAAAGACAAAAAGAGTTAACTGACCACTATCTGGTTAGTCCCCCACAACACGCCTTCCAGATACAAGTATCGTTTACACGCATGATGAACATACAGCGAGTAGGCAATAATTGCAGTATTGTAAAAAATATTCTTCAAGGTGGCACGAAATTATCCATATTCACCACGCATTGTGAGAGAATGTGAAACTGATTATATATCTATTCAAAGCAGCAACCAATCCAGGCCAACTGTTTATCATATGCTTATATTGTTACTCGAGGAATGTGACAGTATGGCAGGCATTGTTTTACCTCGTAGTGAGATCAGTCTTGATTGGACCCTCATTCAGGGCATGTATTTCATTGTTCAGGCAGGATTCTTTTTGCATCTTATGCTTAATCACAAGTATGCCTGTGACTCTGCATATTGCAGATAGTGTACAAACGTGAAGTCATGGGACATTACATTCAAACAGTCTTCAATGATCGTGACTTGAGCTAATTGTTTGATCGGCTTTCTAGAGGTTCGTGAGTCAATAATAAAGTATACGACTTTATGGATAAAAAACTTATTGTTTATGGCATACAGCGACGTTTCTGTGTTGATTCTTCCACCGTTTTCTAGCTAGACTGACTGACTGAGTTTGGTTTTACGCCGCGTTTAGCAATATTCCAGCAACATCACGGCGGGGGACACCAGAAATGGGCTTAACACATTGTACCCATGTGGGGATTCGAACCCGGGTCTTCGGCGTGACGAGCCAACGCTTTGACCACTAGGCTACCCCACCGCCCCTTCTAGCTAGAAGTGACCACAGCCAAGTGGTGTGTACATACATAGTTACTAAGTATGTTGTGACAAACCTGAGGTTAACATTATCAACAGCCTATAATTGAATGACAGGTGCGACATGACTGGGTAAGGCGAGAGGGGGAGTAAGAACAACAAATAGCACGGCCATGAAGCCAATAGTATAAAGCAGCAGTCGTGGCCCACTCTTCTTGGAGGTTACGGAAAGGGGCGAATCGTGACGAATCAATAAGCAGGAGAGATTAAGTAGTACAAACAGTACAAAAACAAAAGCTCACAGGGTGCTAATTGATAAAGCATGTATCTTGATTATTAAAGAAATATTACTAAAATTGGTTAGAGGGTAGCCCACAGTCAGCCAAACAATTTCAGTGCCATGGTGCTCCGCTGTCTCGCTATATCGCTATATCGCTAGCCTCAAATTTAATTCAGGGGCGGATATAGCTCTTTGTGAAAGGGGGGTGCACACTCTTGAGAGAAAGGTGGGGAGACACTTCATTTCACCCGTGATTTAATAAAGTAAGATTCAGGAGAAGGGGACTGTGCTCAAATATAAATATCTTGTCGACTACAGTCTTCTCTCTCAATACATACATATTTAGGACATGTACCTGAGGAAGTGTTTCATTCAGGGATTTACCGAAATAATGAAGTTGCAGGAACTGTTTAATTTTCGTTTTGTGTATCGGCTCACCTTTATTAAAGGAGTTACGGTATGCAGGTACATTATGTACAGCACTGTATTGCTCATGCTAAACATTCGGAGGACCTGACTCCCCAAATGGGTACAAAGTGAGTTTAATTTTACCCTGATTCTAGGAATATTCTAGCTATATCACAGCCGGGGACACCAGAAATAGGCTTCACACATTGCACCCATGTGGGAATCGAACCTGGGCCCTTATTCTCGAAACGTTCGTAGCTCTAAGAATTCTTAACTTTGATCGTTGCCAATGTGTTAAGAATGGGCTTAAGAAGTTCGTAGGGCTACGAACGTTTCGAGAATAGCTAGCCTGGTCTTTTGCCTGACAAAGGAGCAGGAGACAGCTAGTTAGCTTATCAAGGATGAACACAGGGAGTTTGTAGGTCTTCTTTACAACCTGTGGACACACCCAGCAACAATGGTACGAGGCTAGTCTGTGGATCAGGTGGACAATATCTGTCACATGGATGATTGTGTGTCATGGTAATCCCCACAACTGTTGCATTGCTCATAATATTAATCTTTGGTTTGGACCTGTTTATTTACAGGTAGACATCATAAATTGGCTGGGATATTTGCCAGTGTGGAATCACAATACATCTTCCTGTTGGCTGCAGAACATTAATAGCCACCAACATGGCTCTGATTACAATAGCAACTACCAATTAAATTCAATGGTGACACAGCTGCAAGCCACGTCATACTTGCCTGTTCTGAGAGTGGCACGCTGCCCCAACACTTGCCTGAACATGCTCGGCCTTGTTCAGCACCTTGTGACCTTCAACACAAAAAGTGTAACCTGGTGGTAAGGACAGATAACTCTTGACATATCAGCATGTCAGACACAGTCATGCCAGGACACCTGGTCTGCACACCTACCTTGACACCTGATTGAGTCACATGTGCACACTCATGTGACATCTGCTTTGTATAAATGGAATTTCTGACCACTTGAATGTTTAACATAACAGTTATCAGTATCTGAACAACCTATGCACACCACTCCCTGTGTTGTACTGCCATGAGAGACATCTTAGGTCTAAATCACCTTGTGAAACATAGGCGGATCCAGTGTGTGTGCGTGTGTGCGTGCGTGCGTGCGTGCGTGCGCGCACCCCACCACACCCCACACCCCTCCCCATTGTCCTGAAAGTTGATTCAATGACCATTGAAACTCTCGTGTAAATGAAGTTTGCACCCCTCCTTTCTCAATAGCGTGCACTCCCCCCTTTCTCAAAAAAGCTGTATCCGGCCCTGTGAAATTGCTCATGTTTGTTAAATCCAAATAAAAATACACTTTTTGTGTCTTTAAATCCAAATACAAGTCTTATGACCTTTAGATGTCATTATTAAAGTATTTATAGGGTTACATTTGCTATGCAATCATCACTGTAATTTTAGGTTGACACCAAACATTCGTGACCAACTCGTGTTATATTCTGGGACAAGCCAAATAGCGAGGAGGTTACAGAAAGCAACGAGTGGACACTAAATTACACATGGAAGCATACAAGAGTTACTTCCCTTTACTACCAATTTGCAACTTGCCAATAAAATGGTCGTCAAAGATTTATGGGGGAGCAATTTAAACAAATTAAAGAGTGATATATTACCCGCTACCTTTTCCCTGACCTTGGGCATGTTATTTATGTTGGAGAGAGGATATATTTCTGTCACTGCCTTGAACACACGAGTATCTGAAGCCAAGTGGATACTTGACAAATTGGATATGACAAGCCATGTGTACCCACAGCCCAAACCTACAATAAAGCTGTATTATTTATGCACACAGATATATATTTTGAAGTGCTGTGTATTCTGGGATCAGAAGCTGACATACAAGTTGGCAGCAATCAGTGTTAAACTAAATATTGAAGTGAGTGAGTGAATGAGTTGGTTTTACGCAGCTCAAAACAATATTCCAGCAATATCACAGTGGGGGACACCAGAAATGGGCTCCACACATTGCACCAATGTAGGTAATTGAACCCCGGCCCTCGGCATGACAAGCAAACGCTTTAACTGCTGGGCTACCCACCGCCCCTAAATATTGAAAACACTGTAATAAAGTGACTAAGAGTTGAAACATGTATGTTGACACTACCCAATCACTTTTGAAACATAATGAATAAATAATAAGTTCATTTCAAAAGGGTGGCGTGGTCGGTGGGGTGCACTCCAGTAGCCTCCCTTTGGATACATGAATGTTAGTCAGTGGTATCCCAGCAGTATGTACATCTCACCTTCAAGTCCTTGACCTTTGAAGGAAAAGTTGCAAGTATTCGGCAGTCTCTCACTTGTCTTGAATTTACCATTGATGTGAATCATATCTCCAAATTCTCTCTGGAAAATATGTTTCATGTACACTTGGGATGTTGACCATTTCAAAAGATAAAAAAACTAACCATTCAAGCTGTTATTTGTCAAGTTGAACTAACAAAACCCTGAAATGGGATTTTGTATGACAGGAAATTTCAGCACTGTCAATTGTGATGCTAATCGTTTCATGAGACAAATTCTAACCATTTGTCCAAATTGTCATGACTTCTGATACATAACAGCTGGTGATCTGATACTGATAATTGTTATAAATCAATAATATTTCCAATAGCTGGCGTTTTAAGCCAGTCCTAAAACACATTACATAGTTTAATAAGAAAAAGGCAATCCTTACTGCTGTTAAGTTGCATACCACTAGAAACCAGACAGTGAATCATTCAATATACCCTGATTTTGTCTCCAGGCAACAGTCGAAATGAACAAGTTTAATATATTTACTCAATATAAAAGGATATTACTTCCAGATGTTAAGTTGCATACCACTAAAAAGTTACTCTCCTCACATACCACTAACTCCTCCTCCAGGTAATCTCTGACCTCCTTCAGGTGTTTCTCAAAGGCGTCAAGATTCCTCACCACTAGTTCTGCTGCCTAAATTGAAAGAAGAAAGAATAACATAAATTAACACTGCTATATAGGATATAATTCGTTAAGTTTTTGTAAAATGATTCGTTAGTTTTATAATTAGGCCAGACCAATTTTATTTATTGTTTTACAGGTTTTTATCCTCAGAAAACCTAAAGGCAGGAGGGAAATAAAGTAATAGTAAAGTCAAAGTAATACTCCTTCTAAATACTAAAAGTATTTTACTTTTGGCAATTTATGAAGTGTATATGGGGCAAAAAACAATCTAAAAAAAATTTCTTGTAAGTTTACATATTTAGCCATTACAAACATAAGGATTTTATTTTTTTAGCATGAACAGATAATCAACAACGTTAAAGGAAATTACACCCGATATATTTTACCATCATTTTACGAATTATATTGTATTATTATTTTAAGAAACACAAGTAAGAAAAACAAATATGTCAGAGTTTCCAAAAAAGATGACAGCAGCATGATGCATGCTAATCAACTGTTCTTAGGAAAATATCATTTCTTGATGTCATGAACAATAGATGATATCACAATCTGACATGGGTGTTCCAGTTTTCTGAGGAGCTGAATCTCACTGTACCGTGCAGAGTTGCTCCCCTTAGGTGTCCTAAGTCATTCCTAAAATGACATTCTGATCTCCCCCAACTTGCAGATATAGTTAGCCTCTTTGGTCATGTGGATCAAGGTGTCTGACAGGGGGTCAAAATTAAGGTCTGTGGTTCAAATCCCTTCACAGGACAAAGAAATGCATACATAACGAATTACAACAGCCACACCTGCATTATGGCAATCAGGACTCAAAGTGTCTATCTATTACCTTTCCAAGCCCAGCAATCATACCAGCATTTTCTGTCCTAAAATGATATAATAAAACAGAATTATACCTGTGTAATGCACATTTCACCAACTTAAGCTTTTCATGTTTTCTGTACTAGTCCTGAAAATTCCTTTAACCATAATAGGAGCCAATAATCAATCATTGCTTAATTATAATATCAGTGAAAATGTACCAAAAGAAAGAAAAATATTTCACAGACATTTACCTTGAATAAAACTCAACATTTTATGATTTTAACTTTGTATTATGTCATAAATATGTAGTTACATGCAATGAAATGTAAAAACATATGGATGTGAGGCTAGGTTATGGAAGAGGGTGCGCCTAAGAAACCTGATCGTGACTTTGACTCTCAGTAACCCATGATTTGTTTCTAGGTTTGTAAGGACCTAAACACAGGCTTGAGGGTTTTAACAGAGCTGTAAACGTCTGTAGCTTGCACCACTTCAGGCTTTCCTCGAACATCACGCAGACACATCCTGATATAACTGGAATATTGTTCACACTGTTAAACCCAAATCACTCACTCATTCACTCACTCAGATGACAAAAGTTTAACTGGAATATTGTTCAAAACAGTAAAATGCAACTCACTCACTCACTCATTAAAGATGACAACAGTAAAACAGGGATATAGTTTGAAGCTGTAAAATGCTTCTCTGTCACTTACTCACTCACTCAGATGACAAAAGTTGAACTGGAATATTGTTCAAAACAGTAAAATGCAACTCACTCACTAACTCATTAACGATGACAACAGTCAGGTTGCTAGACCAGCTTGACTGCTAGCTGTGCAGAAAATGCATAATTGTATTCATGCAGAATGTGCAGAAAATTCATAATTGTATTTTTGGCAAATAGCAGGGTTTAAGAATTAATGATCATTAGACTAGGGGAACATTCAGACAGTCTATGAATTGTACTCACCCTGGTCTGAAATTCCTCTCCTGTCCTCCACCAAATAACAAAGGGTAGAGTGGTGTCCCCTTGTCTAGATCACGTACATATATGGCGCCAACTCTTGGAGCATAGAACTGTTGGAATGTAACATTGTGTCAAACTAGAAGTATGCATAAATAATTCAATCAACAACCCCTTCACTGCCATTTCCTCAAAGCTCCCTTACGATCTAGCTACACAGTAAAACCATCCTTACCAGGAAGCTACCTTAGATGTAACAATTTCCAAGTCTAGTGATCTCGACTCCTGAGGGAGTGAGTGAGTTTTGTTTTACGCCGCTTTTAGCAATATTCCAGCAATATCACGGCGGGGGACAACAGAAATGGACTTAACACATTGTGCCCATGTGGGGAATCGAACCCGGGTTTTCGGCATGACGAGCGAACGCCTTAACCACTAGGCTACCCCGCCGCCCTCTCGACTACTAAGAGTGTCTAGGACTTAGGTCTTTGCACCACACTAAAACACTTTTCTAAAGCATTTTCTGCCGTGGGCAAGTGACTTTTGAAACAGGCACTTAATGGGTACCTGGTAGGATGTGAAAATAATGTTATTATTTAACCTTTCAGTGCCTCACAGGCAACTTAGATTCTATACTATCTGGATAGATAAGAATGAAAATCGAGTGCACACTGATCAACAGCACTCAAATACCGACAAAACCTAAAGTTGTCTTCTAAATATATTACAATCATATACATTATGTTCAACAACAATAAGATGCTATTACAGGTTGTCATGGTTACCTTATGTCCTACAATAGTAAGGTAGTCCACAGGAATGTCACTGACATCAACCTTGACCTTGCCAATAGCCTGTGCAGCATCAGTATGGAGGAGGATCTTGGGGGTCTCACCTGGATGGCGTTTCAGGCTCCGCACTCGAGAACATATTTTGGAGACTGGCTGCAATGAAACAGTGAGATGTAGTGACTAGCTGTTATGATAATATTGCAAGAAGATTATGTGTATTGGAGACATAATCATGGACACATCTCACCTGTATCTCATTGTTGGTGAAATGACAGACACTGCAATAATGGTGTTGGAGTGAACTGCACTCAAAAGATCCTCCACTCACCTGTACAGCACCTGCCTCGTTACTGGCAAATATGACTGACTCACCTGTATAACACTTGTCTCATTGCTGGAAAACATGACTAACTTACCTGTATAACACCTGTCTCATTGCTGGCCAACATGGCTGACTCACCTGTATAACCCACCTGTCACTATCACTGACTCACCTGTATAACATCTGTCCCATTATTGGTCACTATCACTGACTCACCTGTATAACATCTGTCCCATTATTGGTCACTATCACTGACTCACCTGTATAACATCTGTCCCATTATTGGTCACTATCACTGACTCACCTGTATAACACCTGTCTCGTTGTTGGCCAGCATCACTGTCACCATGATGGTATTTGGGCGGACTGCTCTCAGCACATCCTCGACTTCAACTCGCCCACTCAGTTTGGAGGCAGCCACAACGGTACACTCTATAATACAGGAATAAACTGAAATAGAACTTCAGAAGAATATTTCACCTGCCAAACCTAACAACCATACCACACCTGAGCTGTCAACTTTCTCATCAGTTCATCAACACTTCCATTTATTGATTCTTCAACCAGTGAAGATCTGGGTTAGAATTGATCTTCAGTAACCCATGCTTGTCAAAGAGGCGACTAACCGGATTGGGTGGTCAGGCTCGCTGCCCCAATTGCGTAGTTCGATGTCCATTCTGTTGATCACTGGATTGTCTGGTCCAGACTCGATTATTTACAGACAGCCGCCATATAGCTGGAATATTGCTGAGTGCTGCATAAAACTAAACTCACTCACTCACTCACTATAGATTCTTCAGAATAGAAACATCTAACGGTCATAGTACCTAAGATTTTAATCATAACAGAAATGAATGAACACTATTATGTCTTTGTTGTAACAACACACAATAACACAAATTGACAAGTGTGGAGACTCAAAATACCAGGAACTGTCACACCCTAACATTAGTGGTTCTCAAGCTCTCATTCATACAGGTACGATAGCTAGCTAGATAGATAGATAGATAGATAGATAGCCTGATAGATAGATACACAGGACACACCTGCAATGCCTGCAGATACCATGTGTTCCAGTACAAGCTTTACGGAGTCGTGTTCTAGGTTGGATGTGATAAAGTGTGGCAGCTGCTTCCTGTGGTTCTCTGCATTCTGGTCATCGTGGAAACACTTCACAGCAGTGTCCAGGATCCAGTTGTTTCCCTGAAACGTGTCAGGTGAGGTGAGGTGAGGTGAGGTGAGGTGAAATTGGGTTTTACGTCGTGCTTGAGAATATTTCGCTCATATGACGACGTGCATGCGTGTGTATGTGTATGTGTGGCTGCTTGTACTAGGCCAGACTGAAGCTGGTTTTATGGTGCTAGCCCACTGAGATACCATGCCGCACTGAAGCATGAATACCTCACTCAGACACATTATACTGACTCCGAGCCGACCAGTCCTTGTTGTACCCATTAATGCCGAGCGCCAGGCAGGGACCAACAAGTACCATATGACGAGGTCGGGTATCGAACCCACGACCTTCCGCTCTCTGGGCGGACACTCTAACCACTACACGACGGAGGCGCTCCTGAAAAGTTTGAAGTGAAGTGGGAGGTAATGAGGTTTAAGATTAAACCTGTTTAGAAACAATCATGGGTAAGCCTGGGCTTTTATTTATAATGGTAGCTACGCCCCTGAATGCACTAGCACAGTGACATACATGCATGTGTGGCGGTATGTAAGAGGCGATTAAGGGGATCAGGTAGTCAGTTATTGTATCCTAATTGTATAGATCGATGCTCATGATGTTGATCACTGGATTGTCTGGTCCAGACTTGATCATTTACAGACAGCCGTCATATAGCTGGGATATTGCTGAGTGCGGCGTGAAACAACAAACCAAACTAAATACTTATGTTGAGCATGAATACTTAGACGTGCAAACATTTAAGTCAATAAATTTGACCACACAATCCATTTAGAACATCTCAACATCCTCCTGCGGGATGAACTAGCAGCTATTGTGAAGGCTGACTGACTGAGTTTTGGTTTTACGCCGCTTTCAGCAATATTCCAGCAACATCACGGCGGGGGACACCAGAAATGGGCTTCACACATTGTACCCATGTGGGGATTCGAACCCGGGTCTTCCGCGTGGCGAGCCAATGCTTTAACCACTAGGCTACCCCACCGCCCCTGTGAAGGCAATACACTCATATACTAAAAAAGAGGTCTAAAGGAAGCTTTGCACAGACAACATAAATATGCAAGCAGACTGGTATTCTCAACACCATTGGCCAACTGCAGTGTTGATACACTCACAAACGTATACATAAATCCTCAAACTTACCTCTGTCCCTCCTGACGTGAAGATGATATCTGTAAAGCAGGGTAAAACAGATCTGGAGTTCGTTCCACATAGCTTAATTGTAGCGCTAAGGCGATAGTGACTTCCATATTTTGACATGGACATTGCTATGAAACAAGTCTCTGCACTTTCAGTGCAGGTGTTCTAATAAGGATCAGAAATTTTTGGCTCTACATATGTTTCAGTTTCAATCAGAGACCATGAACCAATGTTAACTGGAAAGTTGTATCAAGGGGGATAACTCTACTTCACCAGGCACAGCAACACACAGTCTCGCATCTACCACAGTTAATTTTACATACATATTCTCAAGCTAAAGTCCCCTTTCATCATGTTTGCACAACAAAATATACTGAAAGACCAAAATAGTTGATGACAAACTGTGGATGATCATGTAATCAGGAAGCTAATCTTTACTTTAACCTGATTGACTGAAATTATTTGTAATTTTGCTGTTGCTGTTTAACATGCACTCAGCAATATAGAAGCTATGTCATTGTATATGATATCAGTCTGTTAATACTGGAATCTGGATCAGAAGATCCAGTGATTGATACTAAGAGCACCAATGCAAAAAGTGTCACTAAGAAAGGTGAACAGATGCAGAAACTTTGAAGATGAATACAAACCTGAAGGTTTTGCGCCAATCATTGACGCCATATTCTGCCGGGATTCATTTATGATGACCTTAGCCTTCTTCCCTGTAAAACAACAAGCTGTGGAATAACTTAAGTTATACTCCAGCATGTACACATTTGATCAACAAAGTGAACTGAAAAACTTCAATTACATGACAAGGGACCAGTGTGCAAAATAGCCACTGGCCCACTAGCCTATGGCTAGTAAAAATCCAGTAGGGCCAGTAAATCTCCACAGTCACTGGCCATTCTGTCTAATGAATTTTCATGGGGTTATTTTGTAAAAATACCACTCTCACCAACCTGTTAAATTATCATACACTTTTAAATCAGACAAGATTATGGCCTGATAAAAATGCTCATCATATTAGCAGCTTAATGATGAAACCTATGTCATGCCGACAATATCTTATTTTCATCTATTTTTGCAATCTTTTGCTTAGTCTCTACATTCATATTTTGGGCTAGTGAATTATTTTGTGGGCTAATAACTTTCAGGCATAGCTAGCCCGACTGGGTAGCAAAATTTGGTAACTATTTCGCACACTGCAAGGGACATATGGAATCATCAAACAAAGTACTTTACCAAAATGAGTTAATGGCTTAATGGTTAGTTAGTTTGTTGGTTTAATGCTTTTCTACAAGCGTCAGTTAACTATTGGAATAATTGATGACATGCATAGTCTAGTCACTGAGCCTGACCGACCCCTCCGTTACTAGCCTCAATCATAGGTCGGTGGAGGCTATATCACTAACTACTCCAGCGCACTCTTCCAACATTAGTAATGTTTGCTGTATATTGAAAATACTCATGTTCTCATCGACCGCCCCCGTGGTGTAGTGGTTAGAGTGTCCGCCCGGAAAGCGGAAGGTCCCGGGTTCGATCCCCGACCGTGTCATACCAAAAGACGTTAAAATTTGGTACTTGTTGGTCCCTGCCTGGCACTCGGCATTAATGGGTACAGCAAGGACTGGTCGGCTCGGAGTCAGTATAATGTGTCTGAGTGGGGTATTCATGCTTCACTGCGGTGTGGTATCTCAGTGGGCTAGCACTATAAAACCAGCTTAAGTATGGGCTAGTACAAGCAGCCACACATACACATACACACGCATGCATGTCGTCATATGAGCAAAATATTCTCAAGCACGACGTTAAACCCAATTTCACCTCACCTCACCTAATGTTCTCATCATATTCCCACCTTGTGTGTATGAGCTGGAAGGGTTTCCCCATGCATCACGCAGGGTGTCGGTGATAGCTGTCAACACGTCCGGGTCCAGGGGAGTAGTGGCATTGTAGTCCAGATATACACTGCATCATATACGGAGAGAAAAGGTGCTAGAGGCATAGAATATATAAGTATATGGTCTCTGCTAGAGGTAATAGAATGAATGAATAAAATAATCATTTAAAAGAAACAGCAAAGAGATTTATACAACCGGTAATGAATGGATATTGAGTGCACTATTTTAAAAAATGAGTAAAATTCACATTTTGAAGAATTGCTGGCTTTAACCTTTTCAGCCACTGCTGTAACACCCATGAGTGAAGTCAAGTTTGTTTCCATCCAGTAAACTAGATTAGGCTATACAGACTTACAAACTCACACACTAAAACTATTCAAATTGTTGCCAATAAATGTGCTCGTGCACCGAAATATTTACTTAAGAGTGATATTATGATTTGTCTCTGATTAATGTTTTCAACAATTATCATGATTATATATTTTATTATAGACTACCCACCTGGCTGTAGTTGACATAGTTTACTTCACTCTTCACACATGCACTTCTAAATATATATTCTTTCATTAACACAAACAGAACATCCACTCATGTTCTGCCACGACAATTACTCGTCTTATAGCTATTTCGTATCATAACCCATTCCATATTTTATATATTTTCAGAACATCTCCGAGAACTAAAAGACTAAAAAGATTTAATTTTTGTTTTGATTTTGTCGCCCTTTGAAAATTTAAATTAATCGTTGCACAGAAAAAAAATTGAGCATTTGTGTCTTCATTCCTTTGACTGGGTTTCTGTCTACGAAAATTATAAGCGCTAAACTTGCGTCGCGTACTAACAGTCGAACCAGTTTATAGACATCCCACGATTATTGACCCGGAAGCTGGTACCTACAAGTGTGTGCGCATGCCCAAGCAGGTGCTTGTTTTGTTTACTTCATCAGCTGGTCTTACGAGATGAGGTCTTGAGAAGAATTCTGTACTTTCGGTTTGTTGTTACGGGAAACCAGTGAGTCGATGAAAGATTAGCCTGGAAGATTCCATTTAGTCTCCCTGTGGTCGTAGATAAGGTATATCCTCAACTCCATCTAGATATATTTGAAAATTTAAAGTTTGTCGATGTTTGATCAGTCAGTGGGCAGGGCAGATATTAGCTAAGATACATAGCGTTCAATGTTCATGTCAGTGAACGCTATGTATCTTAGCTAGGCAGATATCAAAGCGAGTTGTGGGAGTCTGATAGCGACATGCCGTCATTGTCTGTTGGATCACAAACCTATCTTCACTTCCTCCTGTAACACACATTTATGAGGTTAATTTATGACCTGATCATAACCCTGTATTGAAACATAAGTTATAAGTATCAACAATAATACCTTGCCACTGTCAACCAGCGTACACTACTGGCACTATCTGTTAAAAGTTTTTATTCTCATGCCTTTTTCCAGAATATTGCATTGCCTCTACATCTTGTTTCCAATCCTATCAGTAGTTAATGATTTATATTGTTGTTAATGTTATGAACATTTTGAAAAGTTTGATTTCTGATTATTCTTAGGTTTTTCGTGGCTGTCATTATGGGTCAGCAAACGTCTCGACAGGAACTGATCAGCCAGGAGCTTGACGATCAACAAACACGAGACTGGTTCACTCTGAATGTTGCTCTGCGGGAAGCAACAAAAGCCTTGGCTATAAGTCTCCATCACAAGATATCAGTGCTCCACAAGCATGTGAAAACATCTTTCAGAGGTTTGGAGCAATGTAGCGAAAACTGCAGTGCCACAAAAACAAACCCAACTCAGTGGTGTCAACCTTGTTCCCTGTGGAAGAATGAAATTCTGTCTTTGTGCAAGCCAACATATCAACACAAAATTTCATGGGAAAGATATCACTCTGCTCAATGGCCTTCTAATCCTTACGAGTTTGCTCGAGTTCTCATTCCCCGAGCTCACAGATTCTACTATAAGTCAAATGAATTTCATGAAGATATTAGGTATGCATTAAGCTTCATTGAAAATTGTGTTGAATTTGAGGTTCCAAGAGAAACAATTCAAAAGGCCTGGGTTGTCAGGAACAGTTTTAAAAGGAAAGGAAAAATGAAGGTGCGTAAGAGTTATCTCCACGATGCCATGACTGTTTTGCTGACATTGTTGGAATCACCAGGTATTTCAGATCATGAGGCAATTTCACCAGCTGTAAAGAAACTAAGGGCACTGAATGGAGAACTTGAAGAGAGCAGTTGTTGTATTTCATAGAACTGGGACAGCTTCATTTTTAATCAAATAACCTTAATTTTTGCAAATGAAGTGAATGAATAGATACCCTTTGACAAGACCTTCCATAATTGTTACACTAAAGTCACTTGACATATAAAAGAAGAAATGGCTGCAACATGTCATGGGTCTCAACAATACACCTAAAACCAAAGATCATTCAAGCAAATTATAGAAGTGACAAACAATATTAGATTTTAAGTAAACGACCCCATAGGATGCCATGTACATGACGTATCAAGAAGTGTTTAATGATTCAATTACTGTGTAACAACCCATCTATTAACATTCAGGATCATATAATTCTCAGCAAAAACAAATAACATTTGATGATGAATGGTTGACTGTAACAGAACTAATAACTAACCATGGCAAAAGAATGGCTCATGAATTTCATGTCAAGGTCACCATGGTTACGTATAAACGCCAAAATTGTCATGACTGATGGATTCTGTAGACAAAGCAGACATTGACAGTGTTTGGATAGAACAATTTGACGAAAAACAAAGAATCTTTGACATTGTGTTAAGAAGTGAAACGGTCTTATATACATGACGTATACATCATGTACATACTAATCATGTAATAAATTATTGAATGATTTAACTAGGAACATACAAAAAACTTAGGTACATCACTATAAAGTGTGGTAACCATGGTAACCAGAAGGATTGTTCATTGACATATTTTCTGTGTCAGTATTTAATGTTTTGTTGCAGTGTTTTATTAAAACCTGTTAATGTTTCTCAATGAGTGTACCTTGGAGAACAGTTGAATTTAATAAAGATCAAATGAACATGTAGCACAGGGAATAGTTAAGTGAACAGTAGCATCAAGTTATAGGCTTATACTGTCATTGCTAGGGACGTAGCACTATATGATACGGTCCTATATAACATAGTGCTAGGACCCTGGCAGTGACAGTAAATACCTCATAGCTAGTTTTTGCATTACTGCTAATACTGTGGTTTGCAGTAGAATCATGTTTTGTAATTTTGTTTTCTGTTGTTGATTCTATTTTATTGTGTTTGTTTTTTTTATTGTGTTTGTTTGTTACTGAAAAGGATTGTCTATTTTCAATTGTTATCAAATATAACACTACCTTAAGGATGTCTGCTGTGTATTGGGAGTCTTACCACGACATATTTTAAGTCAATCTATCACCTGAATAGGGTCATGCATATAACAATGTCAGACTAAAAGTTGGTGTATATTCAACAAAAGGACATTGTGTATCTTACAAGGTGGGAATTGACTCCTAGAACAGGTTGTGTGATTCTGTGACAGGAGTGACTGAGAGCTGAGCCGCAATATTCCTTAAACCATGATGTTACTGCATTGTCTCTTAAAACGTTGGATACTCTAAATCAAACCTGTGAACATCCTTAATGTGGATAAGATGAAGTGGAGAGTTTTTTGCTCTTTCATCCTGCATCCTGTCATTTGCAAAATGCAGCAAATCAAACTGATGAATGCAATTACAGCAATAAACATCTCATCATGTGTGAATGCTGCTTGATACAGAATCAGGGAAAGTTTTTTAAACACCTGGTTCCCATGGTAACTGTTATCATTATGCAACTATATATCTTAGTGTTCATTATTGCCTTGCTTGTTTCGTAGTCCTTTTGTTTGCTTGTTTCATGAATGTGATATAGAATATTTTTATTTTAAGTGCAAGTAACAAAAGGGAATTTTGTTGTAAATATCAGTTTTATTTCTTTCGTTATGCCAATTCCCAGAGAAAATAATACATAACATTCATAGAAGGTATTTAAATATCCAAGGGAAAACATGGACACCACTTCAGATTCCAAAACCTACATGACCTACCGATATGTTTTAATTGGCTGATTTGTAGACTAGGTTACAGATTCTATTTACTGTATGATTTAGCGTGTAATAAAGCATCATATCTACGGATATGTTTTAATTGGCTGATTTGTAGACTAGGTTACAGATTCTATTTACTGTATGATTTAGCATGTAATAAAGCATCATATCTCGGATATTTACTAGACTAGGTTACAGATTTAGCATGTAATAAAGCATCATATCTACGGATATGTTTTAATTGGCTGATTTGTAGACTAGGTTACAGACTCTATTTACTGTATGATTTAGCGTGTAATAAAGCATCATATCTACGGATATGTTGATAGGCAGCAGACTTCCAATCACCGATCTCAAAGTTGGTGACAAAAAACAACATTACATGCATTGTTGAACAGTTTGTGAAATGACCTTTGATCTTGACATAATAATCTGTCTCAACTGTATGTTTGTTTTGTATTGATCAACAGGACCTATTTAGGGACCGTTCATAATTTATGGCTAGGGGGTGATGATGATTTTAAGGGGGTCACCCATTTTGTTCTGGGGAGCTAGGGGTGTTAGCAATTATGTACACACAATGTACTATCAGTTGTGACCTTGCAACCATCACTAGTAATCTTCATATCTTTGAAAATATCAGTCCATTTGTCTTAAGAGTTACCTTAAAATTAGGTTGTTCAGAACATTGCATTTAGAAATTACGCCTCCTGATATGATTTTTAATGCATGAACAAAGAGAACTAACAGGAATTCCAGATGAAATACACCTGTATCTACCGAGATTCCAGGTACAATAATTATCATGCCATGTTGTTCGTTTACTTGACAAACATTTCTTTTCTGTTTTTTAGATGTGTTTCATAGTCTTTATACAGCAGTCCTTGATATTACACACTTGTGTTTTGTGACTACTGTCTGATCACTCCCCCCCCCCCCCCTCTGGATCCACCCCTGAGTATATGGTTACTTCATCATGTGAAGGAGAAGGGGACATTCACAGTAACCTTCTTCTCATCCTCCATTTCCTTAAGGAATTGTACTTTATGTAAGATGGGTGGTTGGTTAGGGAGGTGATTGGCAATGAAAATCAAATAATATCATTGCCCTATTTCATAATATACTGAGGGAAACAAATAAGGGAACACCACTTCATCGCAGTGTTCCGTCAGATTTTCACCCACAGTGCAATACAAAGCTTGTGAAGAAACCTGGGAAAAGAATAATGGAACACTTGTACTTTAATGTGTTCCCTTATTTGTTTCACTCAGTATATAACCAAAGTATTTTCTATTATTTCTAACACTGTTTCATGTACACAAAATGTTTTAATGACTTCAACCTGGCCTGTGATTATGCATGAATACCATTGCCTTTGATTGAACAAAATCAAAAGGTAAATATTTTATCACCTGGTTTGAATAAATATTTTCAAATTTTTCTCCAATTTTTATTGAATGTATGGAAACATGTTTGGGTACTTTCTAGACTTGTTTGATGTGTGTGTGTGTTCTCATCATACCTTGGACCCGTGAAGATGCGGGGTAGAATAGGTCTTCAGCAACCCATGCTTGCCACAAAAGGCGACTATGCTTGTCAAAAGAGGCGACTAACGGGATCGGGTGGTCAGGCTCGCTGACTTGGTTGACACATGTCATCAGTTCCCAATTGCGCAGATCGATGCTCATGCTGGTGATCACTGGATTGTCTGGTCCAGACTCGATTATTTACAGACATAGTACTGATCACACACTGTACAGGTCACAATGTACTTGTCACATGCAGTGCAGATTATACAATGTGGAGGTCTCATACTGATCACACACTGTTTACACAATCTACTTTACACACAACCGTCATCCCCAGCCTTTTACATGTTCTTTGACCCGTGAAGAGCTGGGTTAGAATGGGTCTTCAGTAACCCATGCTTGTCATTAGAGGTGACTAACAGGATTGGGTGGTCAGGCTCGCTGACTTGGTTGACACATGTCATCTTATCCAGTTGCGTAGATCAATGCTCATGCTGTTGATCACTGGATTGTCTGTTCCAGAATAGATTATTTTCAGACCGCCGCCATAAAGCTGGAATATTGATGAGTGTGGAGTTCAACAACCAACCAACCAACATGTTTCTTGACACGGTTATTCATATCAATCACTTTAAGGCTGAGTATAGTATTACGGTGGGGTAAAAGAGTTCGCTCGTCACGCTGAAGACCCGGGTTCGATTCCCCACATGGGTACAATGGGTGAAGCCCATTTCTGGTGTACCCTGCCGTGATATTGCTGGAATATTGCTTAATGTCACAAAAATAGCTTTTTAGCCACAATCACCAAGAGCGAATCGCCCAAACACACTCCAAGAGTAGTTGGCCCACACACACTCCAAGAGTAGTTCGCCCAAACACACCATCTGATAATAGGATGATGCATGTGCTGCATGGGGAATACATGTGCTGGTGTGTATTGAGAGAGAGTGATTGGAGAGGAGTGTTAAACAGATGATATATTTGCTTGAAGTGGATGCATGGGCTATTATGAGCCGTAAGTATGTGTTTTGTACTTATTGAACATTTGTGTTTTGAGTGTAATTTTCACTTTGTGTGGTATGTATTTGATATGTGACAGAGAAGTATTTCATGTTGAGTTAACAAAATATGCAGGTGATTTCAGTTGGTAATGTAATTACGCTGCTGATAGTGATATTGTAGCTATATACGTTCAGAATTTGCAACTTTCATAGAAGTTATATTTCATATTAAAATAGATGCTACACCCAGTATCTATTTTTTCCAGTGTTGATGTTGAACATCAGGGGCAGGGTAGTTGTTGGCTATTCGACGCACGTCAAGTATTTAGCTGTGTCCTAGCTACGCTTACATGTGTGTTCGTGTGGGGAACGTCGTCAGCTGTGTGGAACGGTTGTCAGCTGTGTGGAATGTTGTCAGCAACGTCGTCAGCTGTGTGGAATGGTCGTCAGCTGTGTGGAACGTCGTCAGCTGTGTGGAACGTCATCAGCAACGTCGTCAGCTGTGTGGAACGTCAGCAACGTCGTCAGCTCTGTGGAACATCGTTTTTCAACATCGTCAGCTGTGTGGAACGTCGTCAGCAACGTCAGCTGTGTGGAATGTCGTCAGCTGTGATGTCATGGTGATGTCATTGGGTCGGCAATGTAACCAAAAGACTTTGGTAAAGTTGTTACATTGACTGCGTGAAATAACTCATAGTCTTGTGGTGGATATTAAGCCCACGTTATGGTGGATACTCATGCCCACGTTATGGTGGATATTAAGCCCACGTTATGGTGGATATTAAGCCCACGTTATGGTGGCTATTAAGCCCACGTTATGGTGGATACTCAGGCCCACGTTATGGTGGATACTCAGGCCCACGTTATGGTGGATACTCAGGCCCACGTTATGGTGGACACTCATGCCCACGTTATGGTGGATACTCAGGCCCACGCTATGGTGGATACTCAGGCCCACGCTATGGTGGATACTCAGGCCCACGTTATGGTGGATACTCAGGCCCACGTTATGGTGGATATTCAGGCCCACGTTATGGTGGACACTCAGGCCCACGTTATGGTGGACACTCAGGCCCACGTTATGGTGGATACTCAGGCCCACGCTATGGTGGATACTCAGGCCCACGTTATGGTGGATACTCAGGCCCACGTTATGGTGGACACTCATGCCCACGTTATGGTGGATACTCAGGCCCACGCTTATGGTGGATACTCAGGCCCACGTTATGGTGGATACTCAGGCCCACGTTATGGTGGATACTCAGGCCCACGCTATGGTGGATACTCAGGCCCACGTTATGGTGGATACCAGGCCCACGCTATGGTGGATACTCAGGCCCACGCTATGGTGGATACTCAGGCCCACGCTATGGTGGATACTCAGGCCCACGCTATGGTGGATATTCAGGCCCACGCTATGGTGGATACCAGGCCCACGCTATGGTGGATACTCAGGCCCACGCTATGGTGGATACTCATGCCCACGCTATGGTGGACACTCAGGCCCACGTTATGGTGGATACTCAGGCCCACGCTATGGTGGATACTCAGGCCCACGCTATGGTGGATACTCAGGCCCACGTTATGGTGGACACTCATGCCCACGTTATGGTGGATACTCAGGCCCACGCTATGGTGGATACTCAGGCCCACGCTGGTGGATACTCAGGCCCACGTTATGGTGGATACTCAGGCCCACGTTATGGTGGATACTCAGGCCCACGTTATGGTGGACACTCAGGCCCACGTTATGGTGGATACTCAAGCTCACGTTATGGTGGATACTCATGCCCACGTTATGATGGATACTCAGGCCCACGTTATGGTGGATACTCAGGCCCACGTTATGGTGGATACTCAGGCCCACGCTATGGTGGATACTCAGGCCCACGCTATGGTGGATGTATATCTGTTCAGAAACATTTATTTGATGTATTTATTGTGTTTGGTACATGTGAATGCTTCAGTGAATAGTGTTTGCGTGTGTGGATTGTGTGCACATGTAGTTAGGTTGGTGAGTGGTTGTTGGGAGCAGTGAGATTGATTACATGAAGTAGTTTTGTTCATAATAAACTTTATTTATTTTGTTTACAATTTCGTGTTTTTGTTCGGGGTCGGACAAGCGTGCGACATTATGGTGGAGAATCCGGGTACTAACTTATTGGTCACATGATTGTTTTGACTTTGAATCGAAACATGGTTTTGTAAGGTTCTTGGTTTGAATCTCCTGTCTGGTAAATGCAAGGTCTGTGTGGAGGTGATGTGTAACTTGTGTAGATGGGTACTGAGACTGAATGATATAAGGAAGAGAGGTTGTGCCATGATCAAGCTGTAACTGTCTGTGGATCAGTTGGTCATTATGATAGCTCAGCAAGGTCGTAATACATTCTTGATACCAAGGTGAATATTTTAGTAAAGCATAGGGTAGTGTTAAATTGTTACTGTAATCGCCATGGATCTTGACAAGCTCATTTCATGTGCCAAATCTATGGGATTGATGGGTGATGAGTTTAAGAATTTTGTAGCAGACAGTTCAGATCTCAGGTATTGCATATTGGTCATGCAACTATATTTTCAGGACATTTGGCAGTTAAAAGACTATGGACAGAATTCAGAGGCAATTCTACTGGCCAGGGATCCAGGCTGATGTTAAAAGATTTTGCAAGTCATGTGACGTATGTCAAAGGACCATACCTAAAGGTAAGGTTGGCAGAGTGCCAATGGGAAAGATGCCTCACACCATTTGATCGTATTGCTGTGGATTTGGTAGGGCCCTTATCTCCAGTAACCGAGAGGAAAAATAGATACATCCTAACCATCATAGATTATGCTACCAGGTATCCGGAGGCTGTGGCTCTACAGAATATAGACACTGAAACAGTTGCGGAAGCTTTGATATCAGTTTTCAGCAGAGTGGGAGTTCCCAGAGAGATCTTAACAGACATGGGGACACAATTTACTTCTGACGTGATGAAGGAAGTTGGACGTTTGCTTTCTCTTCGCCAAGTGACAACCACCCCATACCACCCTATTTGTAATGGGTTAGTGGAGCGATTTAATGGGACCCTTAAATCAATGTTGAAGAAACTCTGCGCAGAACAACCAACTGAATGGGACAGGTATTTAGCACCCCTACTTTTTGCCTATCGTGAAGCACCTCAAGCTAGTCTTGGATTCGCACCCTTCGAGTTATTATATGGAAGGACTGTTAGAGGTCCTATGCAGATCTTGAGAGAGCTATGGACTGAGGAAGTGTCTGATCCAGATGTGAAAACGACATATCAGTATGTGTTGGACTTAAGGAACAGAATAGAGGATACTTGTGCACTTGCTCAAAAGGAGCTACAACGATCTTCAGTGAGGTATGCCAAATACTACAACACTCGTGCTAAGGACAGGAAGTTCAGGGCAGGGGACAAGGTACTTATACTTCTTCCTACACAGACAAACAAACTACTAATGCAGTGGCGTGGACCTTACAAGGTGGAGGAAAAGTTGGGTCAAGCTGATTATAGGATCAATGTTAGTGGACGAATAAAAACTTATCATGCCAATCTCTTGAAAAAGTATTGTGAAAGGGATACAGATTTGAAGACTGATGTACAGGAGATGTGTGTTGCTGTTGTGGAAACTGAAACTACTGACTGCCTCACAGAACATGAGATGTCATCCCTTGAATTGCCACCACTATCAGGAAAGGAGACTTGGACACATGTGAAAGTTGCTGGTAACATTTTAACAGAACAGAAGGAGGAGTTATCACAGTTGTTGGACAGTTTCAAAGATGTTTTGACTGACATGCCTGGGAGAGCGAATCTGACAGCACGCCCAAGCAAGTGTTATTTTTGGTTTTGATAGTTTGGAATTTCTTGGCCACATTGTTGGGAATGGTGAGCTGAGACCAGAAGCGACCAAAATTACCAAGATTCTTGCCGTGACACGTCCTAGCAACAAGAAACAGCTGAGGTCATTCCTTGGCCTAGTGGGGTATTATAAAAAATTTATCCCTAATTTCTCTACAGTGGCTGCATCTCTCACAAATATGACGAGAAAAGGAACACCAAACCATCTGGAATGGACAAGGATTTCTGAGAATGCGTTTGAAACCTTGAAGAGTATGATGTCGCAAGCACCAGTATTAAAACTTCCAGACTGGGAACAGCCATTCATCTTGAGAACGGATGCGTCTGGGACAGGAATAGGCGCTGTGCTACTCCAAGAGGTTGATAATGTCAAATTTCCTGTTATGTACCTTAGCAGGAAGTTGTTACTCCGTGAAACCAGAGACCATATAATCTATTATATGGTCTCTGGTGAAACGAACTATGCCACAGTGGAAAAAGAGTGTCTGGCAATCGTTTGGGCAGTTGGTAAGTTGAAACAGTATCTGTATGGTAGACAATTTGTACTTGAGACAGATCACCAGTCCCTTACCTGGCTCAACACGGCAAAGATGACCAACAGCAGAATCATGAGATGGGCCCTGATGCTACAGCCGTTTAGGTTCATATTACACAGCATTATGGGTAAGCACTTAAAGCAGCGTAAAACCAAACTCACTCACTCACAATACACATAGAGCCATGAGAGCTGGAATACTGCTGACATCAGCATTAAACAAAAATCCATCTCTCATTCACTTCTCATGTTCCACAAAAACAAAGCCATGTGTTTATTTCATATTGTTTATTCCTTATCCTATAACAATAGAAACATGTTCTTCGATGAATATAGATATTTTCTCGTTCTATCTACATGCACTGGTTAAATGTTGAGATCTTTGCTACCAAGCGACAGAATTTCCAGTGAACTGGAAATGCATGGTAATGTACTACTTGATGGCAAAATCGTAACTGTATCAATATGACCAATTACTGCTGCATAACAATTAATAGCAGCCCATTTAATTAGACATGAAACTAATATTACATTGTGCATCTCTTCTGAATCTTAAAATTAATGTGAAATAAATAACATTTGAATACAACTACTTTTTTATGAGTAAAACAGATATTGCTTGGAAAAGCATCGACGCTAACTTTTCAGTCACATTTTCTATTCCCCACACTTAAAGGTTTCAAAACAGAATTTAAAAATGTCATGAAATATTGGGTCACTCACAAATGTTTCGTGAATGATAATTAAACATTCCTCGATGTAAATAGTTTGTAGGAAATTATTCAGCGTGAAGAATGTTTAATTTAGTTTACTTCTTTGTTTTGCTCAAAATGTTTTCAATAAATGTCAGATTTGACTAACTAGATACAAAATTGAAACTGTTACTACATTAAAATAAATATTCATAAATTCATATTGTTAAAAAGAATTACTGTACAGGTAAAAAAGCGGAAATTAAATTTGACAAATAAAATATATTCTATTTACAACTTTGCACTATGTACTACATATGAATAAGGCAATTAATCACCCTAATTACAACAGCTAAATTAACGGTATACAACGCTTACAAGTTGAAATTATGTTACAATTTATACACTATATATTATAAAGGCACTTGTTTTCTACAATGCACTTGAGATGATGCTTACCTCAGATCTATAACAACTATGGAATAAATGAAAATATAACACTAAGGGATATTGAATATAATGTTAGCTCATGACATTGATAAGAGGTTTTCTGCATCAGAGCAGTATTGAGAGTGTCATCAACAATCAGACTCTTTATATTCACTTATTTGTGTACTAAACTATTCTCCCGAAAACACTTATATTGACTGCACACACAAAGCAATTCTAGCATTATCTGAACTCTGTTAGCAGTCTAATATCACAGAATAAGAATATCAACTTAATGACTATTTGACCTATCACAGCAATGGGTAATATGGAATGAATACGTCTATAAAGTAGTCCGTGAATGTATATGTGTAAGCAAAACACCTAAAATGGCATAGTTTGATTCTAAAATATTCAAATATTAATGATATCTTTTTGCACTGTGATAATTTCGAAATTAGATACTTGTTTTAATGTGCTTGATATTGCTAGTCTTCAAGAATACATCATGAGTCTGCCCTGAATACCAATGTGAATGGGTTCTGTTCTGCTTTGAACAATGTGTCAGTGAATGCGGGATTACAATTATTGTAAACTCCAGGATCAAAACTGCAATTCAAAACAAAGATCAATAGATCATTATCTAAAGGATGCAACTCAGCATAACAATTTGAAATACATAGAGCTTGCATCATGTATTAGTTAACAGGGGCGGTGGGGTAGCCTAATGGTTAAAGCGTTGGCTCGTCACGCAGAAGACCCGGGTTCGAATCCCTACATGGGCACAATGTGTTAAGCCCATTTCTGGTGTCCCCCGCCGTGATGTTGCTGGAATATTGCTAAAAGCGGTGTAAAACCAAACTCAGTCAGTATTAGTTAACAACTGGTTTGATCAATAATTGGCCTCAGATTAGCAGATCCTGGCACATGTATGAGACACAACTCTGTATCAGTTGTAGCACACTTACCATTACAATCAGTTTGTTACATATTCATCATGTTCAAGATTAAGATCTATGATAGTTTTCATATTCCCTGGATGTCATGTGCACATGACGTCATGCCAGCTTCGATGTCATGCTGACATTGACATCAAGAGTCAACTGTTGCAGGAATTTAGAGTTGTCTTTGACGTCATGCATCAGATGAGGTCATATCAACATGACATTGGTCCAGCTACAGTGTCATGTTGAGGTGGCGTCATCAAGGAATGTACAGTTGTCTTTGACGTCATGCATGAGATGGCATCATATCAACATGACATTGGTCCAGCTATGATGGCATGTTGTGGTGACGTCATCATGGAATGTGCAGTTGTCTTTGACGTCATGCATGAGATGGCATCATATCAACATGACATTGGTCCAGCTATGACATCATGTTGAGGTGACGTCATCAAGGAATGTACAGTTGTCTTTGACGTCATGCATGAGATGACGTCATATCAACATGACATTGGTCCAGCTACGATGTCATGTTGAGGTGACGTCATCAAGGAATGCTATCTGCTTGTTCAAAGTTCATCCTTTCTTTATTATCTGATTGGAAATATTCCACCAATTTAACACAAACAGGCTAAAAATTTGTGGCCATGCCAAATATTCTAACACAGGTAGAAACTACCTGATCTGATAATCCACCATATATTACGTACACATAATACCACCATATATTACGTACACATAATACCGCCATATATTACGTACACATAATACCACCATATATTACGTACACGTAATACCGCCATATATTACGTACACGTAATACCACCATATATTACGTACACGTAATACCACCATATATTACGTACACATAATACCGCCATATATTACGTACACGTAATACCACCATATATTACGTACACGTAATACCACCATATATTACGTACACGTAATACCACCATATATTACGTACACATAATACCACCATATATTACTTACACGTAATACCGCCATATATTACGGACATATATTTTGAAATTTTAAATCTGAACAACAGCATGAACCAGCATGAACCAGGATGAACATGAGAAACATGAATTATGTTTGTTGTTGATGTTCATAGCAGACTTCATCACACACAGCGGACTAACAACACTTAACTTGAACAAAATCGGTAGATTATATCCCAAATTGAAAGCACATAAAATAATTGAACAGTTCTTGTCTACTCTCCCAAATTGAAAGCACATGAATTATTTAAACTATTCTCAGAATCTGCTGTATACCATTACATATTCGTAATAAAATAGTACTTTATCTTGTGTTGCCATTCACTTGCTACAATAATGCTGTAGAGGTTTGACTGGAATGTGTAAATCTTGTGTGTGTTACGGTGTCGGTGAATTTTACCGACATCAGTACAATGAAAAATGTCAGAAGGTGTACTTATCTGTTTCTTCAAATGTAAAATAAAGTACAGAGATAATCTTATACCATCCAGTCTGAATGCTTTGATTACAGTAACAGACAGCTTCAAATGGATCAGTTTAGGAAGGGAGGTAACTCTTTGTAAAAAAAAGCACACCTAATTTATTTTCAACTGACCAACATTTCTTATTTTCAATTTAATCAAATTTCATTAAAAACCCAAATATTTACAAGAGGTCTTCAATGAAATAAAATATGAAAAAAAATATTCCACTTCCATGAATCATCTGGAAGCGATGTTTCTACGGATACGTAAACAGAGTACATTTTAACTGATGTTTGTTACAGCTCAAGGCAGTGGGGTACCCTAGTCCACAGCTGCTTCTTCAATGTTGTCAATATACAACAAACATCCTATACAGAAATGACTAAGTAATGCACTAGACAGGTGGCAGAATGACATCAATCAGTGGACGGCATCTGTGACTTCAACCGGGCGCTCCAATCCCTGTGAAAGAAATATACTGTCGCATAATCAATGTGATATCATTAAGCATGTTTCGTGAATGTCAGAATTATGACCTTGATCTAATTTAAGATGACTTACCGGTAATCAGAACACCCTAGCTCATACCAGAACTCGTGGGGCAACTGAACTGGTACCGAATACCCAACCCCCATGCCAATATTCCTTCCTTTCCCCGACACCACTGATTATGCTACTACTCAACAGGCTTGATTCTACAGATTACTTCTGACCCTAAACTCCACCCCATGGGGACAACTGAAGCCATACCCCATACCCCCAATATTGCCTCCACACACACACACCCGACTCCACCCTCCACCCTGAAGTACCCTGCAGCACCCAGTGATCATGCTACTCACCAGGCTTGATTCTATAGAGTACATCTGCCGATCTTTGTCCATTAGGTCTCTATCCTTCTGGTTCAGTTCTTGTTTTAACATGGAGATCTCATAGTTCTTGCGATGAAGGAGGTCTTTCTGGGCACGCTTTTGGACCTGCGTCTGAAAGAAGGTTGTTCAATGTACCTTCATTTGACTAGAAGTGAATTAATTTCAACACAATTTTTGCTCTCTCCAGGTATACGCTTCTTGCAAGGGGGGACTAACAGGATCGGGATCAGGTTCACTGACTTAGTTGACACATGCTCATGCTGTTGATCACTGGATAGTCTGGTCCAGACTCAATTATTAACAAACCAAACAACTCTCTACGTATATGGTTGTAGCAGTGGTGTAGCCCAGTGGTTAAAGCGTTTGCTTGTCATGCTGAAGGCCCAGGTTCGATTCCCCACATGGGTACCAATGTGGGAAGCCCATTTCTGGTGTCCCCCGCCGTGATATTGCTGGAATATTGCTTAACGCGGAGTAAAACTCACTCACTCACTAGGTATATGATTAATATGACATAGGTAAGCTTCCAAGAGACACACGCCATAGATATTTACAACTTTGTGAAACCCATGTATTGACGGTGCTGACTGACCTGACATGTCAAACCAGCAGCACATCTGGGAATCAAACCCACAACCAGTGCATCCTGATGCAGTCAAGGGACACAACTCTACACATGACAATGCATGGCAATACTGTATGGCGTAACCATGGGAATACAGAAACACAGTTGCTTGATGCAGCATTTTGATGTATGTAGTCCCTAACAGACCCAATCCACACCTATTCCATCCACCTATCTGAATAGCTGCGAGCGGATGGTCACTGCTTGCATTCTAGCAGGAGCATGCTTCCTGTGTTTCCGTTGAATCCCCAGCACCTGGGTCAGTAACAACTGCTAAATATTTATCATGACATCCACCGCTCTAATGTTGAAAACTGGTTCACAGGATAAACATTTACCACGGTCACAACAATCTAAAGCTAGTAATTCCTTACGAAGGATAAATATTATCATGGTATCCAACAATTCAAAGCTGAAAATTGGCTTCAAGGGGTAATCAAAATCTTTGAATCAGCATCTAATGGTATTTAATTGCCAGTACTGCAAATGCTGACAATAAGTTTCAAGGGTAAATATTTACCTTATGATCGTCCGTTTTTTTGCGTGCTGAACCAGGTCGGGGCATGAGATGGGCCCTCTCATTCTCCAGATGGAATGTCTGGAAATGTAATCAGTTGTTATTTACTGAGAGATAACACTTGTTATTAATACTATATCTTTGATCTACCTCTTTCACAGTCATTGTCGTGCAAACTCAATTGTCATGAATATTTCACAGGTTTATAATCCCCATTAACTGTGAAGCAGGTTCAAAGTTACCAGAATAGCGCTCAAACTATTTTAACAATATTTCCCTGACAACATGTCAATGACATATGTGTTATAATCCACAGGTCTTTTGGAAAATATATACAACAGTCAGAGCTTTGTAGTTCATCAGGGGTGGAACTAACTTTAAAATTGCTAGTGTACTCCGGTACAATGTCACATGTAAAATCACTTGCCCTGATTTTCCGCTATACCGTCCGTTTTCTTGTTGATTTTTTAAATAAACAACATAATTAACATTGGAAAGTCAACCGGACACCGGTACAGCATGATATACAAATTTGCTTGCCCGACAGAAAAAAACACTGGACTCGGACGTCGGGCAATGAGTTATTTCCACCCCTGTTCATACCTTTTTCTGTTTTATAGCTGTATTGAGTCGTTTTTCTTGGTTGAGTTTGTCTCGTGCTCGATTGAGAGACTCGCGTAGTAGTTCAGATTCCTGCGACGACATTCGAATGTCATTCTGAAAATTGACATAGGAGTTGAAAGATAATCATTACACGGCTGAGTTAGAGTTAAAGCATGGATCAGCATGTTCTAAGTGTTTGTGTATTTGAACGTTGTCTTCACTGCACTTTAAATAGTGTTGTCTTTTAAATATCTGACTTTGGACCAAACAAGCCAGTGATTGACACTATGAGCTACAGTCCAGGAGATCACTGTACCATGACATGGTATCAACAAAGTCATCAAGTCTAGTTGTCAGTTAAGTAGCCTCTTGAACTAAGACTAAGGATTGAGACGAGGGAGAAATCATGTGGCCAAAGATTTTTGCCAGCAATTTCTGGTTAAAATGTCTTTCAAAACAAAATCCGAGCCTCTCTTTCACAAGACTGCAACAGCTGTGTGTATTACCTAACATTGGGGACCGGTGAAGATCCCGGTTAAAATTAATCTTCAGTAACCCATGCTTGTTGTAAGAGGTGACTAACGGGATTGGGTGGTCAGGCTCACTGACTTGGTTGACACATATCCCAACTGCGTAGATTGATGCTCATTCTGTTGAATTGTCTGGTCCAGACTCGATTATTTACAGACCCCCGCCATATAGCAGGAATATTGCTGAGTGCAGTGTAAAACTAACTCACTCTCCTAATATTGGATCTTTAGCCACTGCCTACTATATGTTATTACCAAGCAACACCTGCACAAGGAGCACTACATTAGGGACCATTCATTAGTATGTATACCCCATTTGACAGAAGGGCCGCCTCCGTGGTGTAGTGGTTAGAGCGTCCGCCCGGAGAGCGGAAGGTCGCAGGTTCAATCCACGACCACGTCATACTAAAAGACGTTAAAATATGGTACTTCTTGGTCCCTGCCTGGCGCTCGGCATTAATGGGTACAACAAGGACTGGTCGGCTCGGAGTCAGTATAATGTGTCTGAGTGGGGTATTCATGCTTCACTGCGGCATGGTATCTCAGTGGGCTAGCACTATAAAACCAGCTTAAGTCTGGGCTAGTACAATCAGCCGCATATACACATACACACGCATGCACGTCGTCATATCAGCGAATATTCTCAAGCACGATGTTAAACCCAATTTCACCTCACCTCACCTCATTTGACAGAAGAATAAATCATGAAACAAGCTAATCACCTGCATTGTCTGCATTTGCTGGGTCTTTGTGGCAGCCATTTCCTGAGCTTGCCTGGAACAAACAACAAAATGCATAAAATTACTTTTCACTTGATACAATTACCTGTCAATGTTGAGACCCATGGTAATAGTGATATTATTCTTGACAAAATGACATGGATGACGGTAGATTCACCATCATACACTTACCATCATGCAGCAGATTACTTTGGTTGTAATGTCACAGCACTTGCAACAGCCACACATTCCTTTACAGGTTATGACTTTTTGTGCACTTTGAAAATGAAGAAATGACCAAGTTGCCATAAGTCAGAGAGCAACGCTAGTTTCAAACTGGTGACTTTCTTTCCAGACTTTGCTTTGAAACATATCCATTCAAATTATTAAAACAAAATGAAAGAAACTTCAGTGAAGTCTAATTATTGGCCAGAATGTATGGTAGTGCTTCCTAAGGGCAATGGAGCCTTTTCTGTGTCCAATGTTTATCTAACCCATGCTTGTCGTAAGAAGCGACTAACGGGATCGGGTGGTCAAGCTCGCAGGCATGGTTGACACATGTCATCGATTCCCAATTGTGAAGATCGATGCTGTTGATCACTACACTCACTCACGCCAATGTTTATCTAACCCATGCTTGTCGTAAGAAGCGACTAACGGGATCGGGTGGTCAAGCTCACGGGCATGGTTGACACATGTCATCGATTCCCAATTGTGCAGATCGATGCTGTTGATCAGTGGATTGTCTGGCCAATTATTTACAAACTGCCACCATATAGCTGGAATATTGCTGAGTGCGGCATAAAACTACACTCACTCACTCCAATGTTTATCCCACTAAAGCAGGATGTAGATGATTAAGGTGGAATCAGTGGAAGGCTTTCATCTGGGAAGACAATTTCCAAGTAATGAATGTCAGCAGTGACTGTAACGAGTTCCACCCACCTCAGTTTGACGAGGTCTCGCTCGTAACCATGTAGGAGCTCGTCTTTCCGAGCTGTCTTCTCCTTCAAGGAGTTTATCTTCTGTGCCAGGATCCCACAGGATGAATCCCGCTGCATTGTAAGACGTTCACGCTCATCCCTCGGGATGTGTGCCATCGGCCGGAGTCCATCTATTGCCTCCATCTCCAGACAACTAGCCATGGCTCTCAGCAATGTCATGTACTGAAATAGAGGGGAGGATTCACTGTAATAACATTCTCAAGTTCTGATAGGACGGTAATTTTCGAGACACTGCTATTGCATTTATTTTGTTTGGCTCAGTGAAAAATCAAGCAACCTGAGGACAAGCTTCCACGTTGAATATGAAACATCAGTACACAAATGGAGGCATGTCATTTTGATCCCTGGTCATGAAGAGCAAACACTTTAACCACTAGGCTACCCCTCTATCCACTAAGTCACTCAAGACAAGTCTCACACTGAAGAAGCTAAACTATCAACTTACTGTAGTCTCACTGCTCTCCAAGGCATCCATTGTTTCCCTGTGGGCACTTCTCTCCATATCAGCCTCAACATTGGCCGGTGTGATGAGACCTCGAGCCTTGCCGATCTCGCGGTCCAGTGAGGTCACGCTCTGTAAAACACGGTCCTCCGATATGGCCTGGTTGACCCTCATCTCGGCCAGCTCCTTCTTAAGTGAGATCACTTGCTGCAGAGCCTGGTCCTGGGATGGCACTGGACAAACACAAGACATCAGCTCTTACATCGGACCTTAATGGCTTTTAGGGAGCGATTGTGTATGGTTTTACACCACTTTTAGCAATATTCCAGCAAGATCACGCTAGGTTACACCAGGAAGGAGCTTCACACATTGTACCCATGTGGGGAATTGAACCCAGGTTTGCGGCATGACAAGCACTGCTTTATCCACTAGGCTACCCCACCGGCCCTAGATTGTGTGGACTTTGCACTCAGCAGCTGTACTTGATATCTATTACTGCTTCTTGGTACTGTATTACGTTGGTTAGGAAGAGCAACAGCAATATTTGTACATTATGTTATCTGCAAACTTAATACTTGTATACACTCTAATTTTCCATTGTGATTCACTTTACACTCACTGGATGTTCGAAAACACATCATAGCCTCCATTCATCAGCTTACTACAACTATAGGGGGAGGAGGGGGGGTACCCATGTGAGGATTGAACTCAGGTGTTCGGCATGACAAGCCACCACTTTCACCACTAGGCTACCTCACCGCCCCGAATGGCATTTAGAGAGTGATATACATTTGGAAGAGAAGTCAAAACTTCATATAGTCTAAATATAGCTAAAATATTAACAACATCACAGTTTCATGGGAAACAATTCTCCAATATTTTGTCTTACACTGTAATCAGTAAAATTAGGGACCGTTCATAATTTATGGCTAGGGGGGTGATGATGATTTTTAGGGGGGGTCACCCATTTTGTTCTGGGGAGGTAGGGGCATCAGCAATTTTGTACACAAGTTTCTTGGGGGGTCATCAATTTTGTACATAAAAATATTTAAAAATTAGGCTTACAAAATATGGGAAGGGGGAGGGAGGTCATTGAGTTTGTACAGAAGGGGGTCACTTACCTTGTACATATATTTATGGGGGGGTCAGTCAAACTGTACATGCTTCTCCATAAAAATCATCATCACCCCCCCCCCCCAAGCCATAAATTATGAACGGTCCCTTACAGCTGTAGGATGATAGCTGGGACATGATAAGTCTCAAACAGAAGAATTGAGTGGTTAATCGAAAGCTTCGGATCTATTTTAGCCAACTCTGCTGACAAGAATGAGGTGCTGGCAAACAGCTGCAATCTGAAGGATTGATATTGATGGGACTCTGGAACTCACATGGAGGTCGCACGCTCTCAAGGACCTTGACCCTTTGCCTGAGTTCCGCCAGAGCCTCTCTCTGTCTTGTGATGACCTGCTCGTGTCTCTCTCCACGGCATTGGGAACCAAGGGCAGACAACTCTGATGTGATACGACCCTGAAGAAAAAGACAATGAATAAAATAACCTGACTGCCACAACCACAAACTCACAACCAGCACTGACAGCACCCAGTACCCTATACCCAGTATTTGGTACCCCAGTGTTATCTAGTACCCAAGGGTGAGCGTATTACCTCCTGGTCGAGGAGTTCCAGTTGCTTCTTCTGTTCCTCCTTCTCCTCGCTCAGACGGGTCTCCAGAAGCTTCAGTTTCTCCGTCCTCTCTTCAAACCCAGCCCGCAACTTGGACGACACGGACTGCTCCTTGCTGCAGAAACATGGGTATAGAATTACACTAGTGTTGTCTACAGGTTCCAAGGCTAGTGTGTCATGTCTGTATAAAGATACCTTCCCAAGGCAAGGGAGATAACTGACCACACAAGATCCTTGCCAACTATGCTGGAATTTCGGGGCTTGACCATTGTGCTACTAGTTATTCATGAGGTAAATGTCTATATCACTTTTCTATGTCCCTCATATTGACCAATCAGATTCCACCTCTTATATCACATGCATACGCTTCATTCAAAAGATGGTCTGTTCAAGTTCACATAAGAAAGGTTTCACAGCCCTGATCCATTTAGTTGCCTTTATGACAAGCATTGGCTGCTGGGAAACAATATCAAATCTTAATGAGTGAGTGAGTGAGTTTAGTTTTACGCCGCACTCAGCAATATTCCAGCTATATGGCGACGGTCTGTAAATAATCAAGTCTGGACCAGACAATCCAGTGACCAACAGCACGAGCATCAATCTACGCAATTGGGATACAATGATATGTGTCAACCAAGTCAGCGACCCTGATCAACATGCATGATCAACATGCATGGGTTGCTGAAGATCAATTCTAACCCGTGATCAAATCTTAAACATCTATAGTATGCCAACACCACCTCACACAATGAGAGACTCACCTCAACTCCTCTTCCATCTTCCTAATCTCCTCCTTCTGTTTGTCGACAATCTGCGAGAGTTTGGCAAGCTGCTGCCGCGACTCCGTCAGGTCCTTCTCCTTCTTCACCAGCAGCTCCTTCTTATGCTCCATCTCCTGCTTCTGCGACTCGCTGAGCTCCCCGGTGATGTCCGACAGACGGGCTGCTGCTCCCGCCAGATCGCGCCGTAGACCCATGATCACGTCCTGAGATTCTGTGAACTGCTTCTTGAGATCACTGTTTTCCCTCCTGGAAAGAAAATATGTTTTTGCATAATTTCTTCTATCTGTTCACAAAGGTTGGGAAAACAGGATACCTTCTAACATAACACTCTATCCAAGCAGACATTCAAGAATGCTTGTTGTGGTTAAATAAAGAAAGGATCCATTCATGGTGACTTGTGCTGTGATGCTGTCACCAACCCAAATAACATGTCCTTTCTGTGACTAAATATTAGTCCACTGGTTGGCTGAAACCATCTTTGAACTTGAAATCAACACCCAATCAAAATGCCTCTTCTAAATTGAAGTTTGACACAGATTCACATTTAAAACCTCAATTGCGTTCATCTTGATCTAACTGTTATCTCCTCCAAGACACAACATCGTCCGTTACCTGAGAACAGTTATGAGGTGTTCCATAGCTGCTAGTTCTTCTGTGTTTCTCTGGATGACAACCTTAGGCTTTGGAGGGAGACTTGGCTTCTGAGAGATTTTGTTTTCAACTTCTGGAAAATAATAATCACGACTCAACAAAAATATGCGAAACATCAGTTTCTACTGAGTGGCACAAAACGATCGGTAGACAGTCAGTTGTGGACCAGACAAACCGGTGACTGACGTTCTGAACAACATCTCACTACCAGAATATGAGATACAAACTCCAAACATTCAATCAAGTCGACAAGTCCAATTACCTAATCTAATATCAGGCACGCTACAACTAACAATAACCTTCTGGAGACCTATCTGGAGATCCAGTTTTTGCTCCTCTCCTAAATCACCCTTACCTGTTATGACTTTCTTCAGTTGCTCCACCTCATCTTGGTAATCCTTATTCTTTTTGGTGAGCTTCACAATCCTCTCCTCCATTGTACAAATGGTGACAGCGTGCTGTTTAACTTGTTCCTTAAACGACTCAGACTCATCGTGCCCTTTCTTCCTCGCCTCCTGCTTCTCCTCCTCCAGCCTGGCAACTTCCTCCCTCTTCTCCTGCTCCAGCTTGGCAATCTGTTCCCGCAGCTCGGACTCCAGCGCCCTGAGCGAAACCATCTCCGCCAGCGCCTGTGCGGCCTGTTCCAGCTTGTCCCTGTCCTCCTCCTGCTTCGAGGTCAAAGACTGGGGACAAGAGTTTTTGTGGAATCAAAATTTGGAATGAATTGAAATTATAAAAGAACTGACTTCGCTTTTTGAAGAGTCTATAAAAAAAGATATCATACAAACCGACAGCAACTACTTGTAAATTGGTAAAATGTTTTTCAATGCTGATATATCCGGGTGTGTTATCCTATTGCATAAGTGAAGCCTGAATATTGTGTTCTACCATTCATGTTTATCCAAATGGAACCTGTTCATGGCATTGTGGGTCCATATACAGATGTTAAGGGTTATCTCCCTTAACTTGTTTAATAAGATCTCCCAACAACTCAATGATTTGTTCGCTCTGATATTCTGTTCAATTAAGCTAAAAAATCAGAAATTCGGAACATACCAGGGGTGGAAATAACTTTAAAATTGCTAGTGTACTCCGGTACAGTGTCACATGTAAAATCACTTGCCCTGATAATTTTTCCACTATACCGGCCGTTTTCATGTTGATTTTTTAAATAAACAACATAACTAACATTGGAATATCAACTGGACACCGGTACAGTGTGATATACAAATTTGCTTGCCCGACAGAAAAAAACACTGGACTCGGGCGTCGGGCAATGGGTTATTTCGACCCCTGCATACCTGCTTTCATCATCTACTACAATATTACTGATATTACAAAAGTTACTGACAGTGTTTTAACAACTTCAATGACACCAACAGTCCCTACAGAAATGTTTTGGTACTTTACAAGCTGATTCATTATAATACACATATACTATTTTCCTTCTGACTACATTACATCATTTTGAGAGTGATGCTACTTGCTCACAAACAACACAACAATTCCCATCGGACGGCCTCTCACCTGTCTGATTGAATCTAGACTGGCCTCTAACTCTTCCGATTTCTTCTTCTCTGCGTCAATAGCAATTTCTCTTTTCTCAGTTTCCACGGCAGTGATACTATCAATTGCACGGTTAAATTTCTCTTCCTCTGCAAAACATATGAGCATTTGTTGAAATATTCACAGATGTATAGAGAATACCTGCAATTCAGCGTCATCAAATATGATCACTAAATAGAAAATGTTTCCAATCACTTAACAGTGTCAACAAAAGTCCCAATCTTATTAACATATTTTGGTTTTAGCCAGTTTCCAAAACTGATATTACCTAATAAAGTTCACGGTTATTAACTAAACAGTTTTCTCTATTTGCCAAAAATTGACTGATGACAAGTTTCCTTAACAGTTTTCCACTACAACTACAAAATGTAAAATAGTAAAGTATAACTTCAAGACTGGTTCATTTTGAGTGAGCGAATTAGATATTCCAGTTATATCATGAAATGATACGCGTCCTAGATGTTTACCACTTTCATGAATTCCACGTTTGTTGACAAACCAACAAGCAATCACAGTGGAACCTGGATTCAAACATCACAGGTTTCTCACACGACAACAGGAGGAACTCATCACAGGTTTCTCACATGACAACAGGAGGAACTCATCACAGGTTTCTCACATGACAACAGGAGGAACTCATCACAGGTTTCTCACACGACAACAGGAGGAACTCATCACAGCGAATTGCAGACCCTAAGATTGCTTTTTCAAAATTTGTAAGTATCAATGCTCTTGTCCTTCGTCTCACCCTCGAGTCGCGCCTTCTCCACAGCGTCCACTAGCCTGTTGTCCATCTCTTCCTTGAGGGCGTCCAACTTCTCCTTCAGTTCTTCCTTGTGACGCTCCTCCATCTCCGCTAGCTGTGTCTCCAGCCGCTCCTGGTCAGTGATGGCCGACTCCCACTTGGCGAACAGCATCTGGATGTGTGATCCTGGAGCTGGACAGAGACGTTAGTGTTAAAACATATAGTCCACAACTTTGGTCTAGATAGTGAGTTTGATGTTGACATTCTTACCATCGTTAGTGAGTTTGATGTTAAACATTCTTACCATCATTCGTGAGTTTGACATTGACGCCACACTTCTCCAGGGCCTCCTCGACATCTGTCTCCCACGCCTGTTCGTCCTTCACGATACTGACAAGCAAGTCACGGACCCACGTCAGTGCATTTTCTGTCGACAGAGACTGGATCACAGTCAGCTCCTGCTGCAACATCACTGACAGGCGACCATCTGTCCTCAGACGATTCTGAAAAACGGGGAGCCAGAAAACTTCAGAAGCAGTGAGGTTGGTTTGAAAAACTCCTTCAGTAATATGGTGGTGGATACCATAAATGTTTTCCACACACTGTACCCATAATAATAACTACAAGTGGAAGTTTGGAATATAAACATCCTGAGTTTCATTCTAGAACTATGTTATCTGACAGTACTAACTTAAGTAGAGTATCTCCAGTTGAGGGTTATTCAGCTATTGTTAATCTCAATCATTGTCAGAAGTACAGGTGTTATCATTCCAGCAAGATATTTACAAAAGTCATGGGGTGTATGTGTTTTTGTGTCTGTGTGCATGTATATGTTTGTGTGTCTTTATCTGTAAGTGTTTATGTCTGTCCATGTGTGCTGTCTGTCCATGTGTGCTGTCTGTTTATCTGTCTGTCCATGTGTGTGCTGTCTGTGCATCTGTCTGTCCATGTGTGCTGTCTGTGCATCTGTCTGTCCATGTGTGCTGTCTGTGCATCTGTCTGTCCATGTGTGCTGTCTGTGCATCTGTCTGTCCATGTGTGCTGTCTGTGCATCTGTCTGTCCATATTTGTCGTCTGTGCATCTGTCTGTCCATGTGTGCTGTCTGTGCATCTGTCTGTCTGTGTTTGTCTGTCTGTCTGTCTGTCTGTGGGTGGGTGCCAGGGGATTACTTCTATATATAAATTTCAACATACCACTGAAGCCATCAATTTTTCCTTCAGTTTGTCACCATTGGTGATCAGTTCACTTGTGCCAATCTTAGCAAGTCGAACTTGCTCCTTGAGATCTTTAATCTTATTGGTCAGACTCGTGCGCTCATCAATAAGTTTCTTCATCGTCTCGATCAGCTCATCGTCTGTGATCTCAGTTTCTGGCGCCTTGATTCCAGGAGTGGAGAACGTGACCTGTATCACCCGGTTCCGGAAGCGCTCCAACTGAAAGTGAACACAAAGATGTTGTAAAGGATACAATAATCATGTTGGGCAACATGTACTCCAGTATGCTCCCCAGGGAGCTGAGAGTGCAAATTGAATGTATCTATGGAGAAGACATAATTGTATTGCTGAGAGGAGCGAGTGAGCGAATATGGTTTTACACCGCTTTTAGCAATATTCCAGCAATGTGATGGCTTGGGACACTTGAAATGAGCTTCACACATTGTACCCATGTGGGGAACTGAACCCAGGTCTGTGTCATGACAAGCAACTGCTTTATCCACTAGGCTACCCCACCGGCCCTAGATTGTGTGGACTTTGCACTCAGCAGCTGTACATGATATCTATTACTGCTTCTTGGTACTGAGTGAGTGAGTGAGTGAGTGGGGTTTTACGCCGCTTTTAGCAATATTCCAGCAATATCACGGCGGGGGGCACCAGAAATGGCTTCTTGGTACTGTATTACGTTGGTTAGGAAGAGCAACAGCACTATTTGTAAAATATGTTATCTGCAAAGTTAATAGTTGTATACACTCTAATTTTCCATTGTGATTCACTTTCATCAGCTTACTACAAATATAGGGGGGGAGGGGGGAAGTTGAGTGCATGTAAAACTTAAACAGATTTATTTTTTATTAAATACAGCAATTATAAACTTGAAAATCATTCAGGTACTGATCATTTATTATAGTGGCGTTAGCAAGATATGATACCATCCTGGGGCTCCTTTCATGAAGCAACCTTTACTAAGGTTAACCTTAACTCCCATTTGTTAACACTGCACTAAGGTTACCTTAGTGACTTACGATCACCTTAGTGCTTTGTGAAAGCAGGCCCTGATTCCAGTACAAGCAACACTCCATAAATACTATATATTATCGGTCCCTTGGACAATAAATGTAAATGCCTGTTTGACACATGTTCTATCCAATCAGAAACTGCGATGGCCTGACATTATATCAGGTTAACAACCCTATATATATTTTAATACTGCTGATGGGCTCACCCTCTTGGAAGACTGCTCCATGTCCACTCGGACAACTCTCTCAGTCCGCTGCATGTCCAGGAACTGGGACTTCGCAGCGTCCACCTCCCCTTGAAGTTTGCGATGGACGTCCTCCGACTCAAACAGCATCTGTTTTGTCTTGTCCAACTCCTCTCTGAGAGAGCCAATCAGGTTGAGTTGTTCTGACACTTTGTTCTCAGAGGCCTTGAATTTCTGGAGGAATAAATCTTTGTTTCTATAGTTTCTATTGTTTCTATAGTTTCTATAGTCTATTGTTTCTATAGTTTCTATAGTCTATTGTTTCTATAGTCTATTGTTTCTATAGTTTCTATAGTCTATTGTTTCTATAGTTTCTATTGTTTATATAGTTTCTATAGTCTATTGTTTCTATTATTTCTATAGTCTATAGTTTCTACTGTTTCTATAGTCTATAGTTTCTATTGTTTCTATAGTCTCTATTGTTTCTATAGTTTCTATAGTCTACTGTTTCTATAGTCTATTGTTTCTATAGTTTCTATAGTCTATTGTTTCTATATTTTCTATAGTCTATTGTTTCTATAGTTTCTATAGTCTATTGTTTCTATAGTTTCTATTATTTCTATAGTCTATAGTTTCTATTGTTTCTATAGTCTATAGTTTCTATTGTTTCTATAGTCTATAGTTTCTATTGTTTCTATAGTTTCTATAGTCTATTGTTTCTATAGTCTATTGTTTCTATAGTTTCTATTGTTTCTATAGTTTCTATTGTTTCTATAGTTTCTATAGTCTATTGTTTCTATAGTTTCTATTATTTCTATAGTCTATAGTTTCTATTGTTTCTATAGTTTCTATTGTTTGTATTGTTTCTATAGTTAATGGCCTGCCATTCTCCTGCATGTCACAAAGAATACATTCCTGAGAGATTAGTTGCTTATTTCTACCCTGACCTCAACTTGTATCCTACCAAGGCTATTAGTCTGTCCCACAGTCCCTGAACCGCATCATATTCCTACAGCCTAGCCCTCCCTGCAATGCTAAAGCCCTTAATGGGGCAAGTCTAGATTTCTTCAGGTTCTGAATCTCCGATCTCACTAGGGCTCCTTATCAATTTATATATACGTATATTATACATCTTACATTTGCTTTAGTGAAAGCTTTGATCAGTAGATGTTTTAAGTAAATGATAAAGCACAAACTGAAGACAGCACAGAACCGTTTCTTTTTGCTGATATTGCAAGTCACCAACAGCTTGGCAATACAGTACAACAACAAACGTTTGAAAACAATTGCAAAACATAAATGCACTAAGAAATTACGTTAATCTCTGAATAGATATAATTATATAGAAACAAACAATTCTTTTAAATAGGAACTACCATTCCGTTATGGTTAGTATTTTATTTACAGTGCACTCTGTCAAACTCGGACTGTCTTTCTCGGATTGCTGTATAAACAGGACTGAACTCATGGTCCCGACGTAATCCTTCTTTGTTGTCATAATAAAAAAGTTCTGTATCTCGGACTCTCATTATTTCGGATTTCGGACCAAAGTGTCACAGTCTTTGATGACTGATTTCTTCACAAACTGAATCTTTTATATGCAAGTATGTAATAAAAAAATGTACATGTACTTTGTCAGTGTTTCGTCTTTATACGCATTCATGTAACATGTGTTTCATGAACAATCGCATGTTCGTCAAAGGGAGATAACTCCATTAAAATCTGTGTACTTCGGACTACTGTATAATTCAAACTTTTTAGTCGGTCCCAAGCTGGTCCGAATTAGACAGAGTGCACTGTACTATCATGGCATTGCGTTTACAATATAATACTCAGTAATTGAATTAGATTGTAAACTGTTATGACAATAGTTGTCATCATCATCATCATCATCATCATCATCATCATCATCATCATCACCGAGGAGGAGATTACAGGGAGAATAGACAAGAGATTCGATCTTGACCAACCTGTCGCAGGCAGACCAGCTCCTTCTCTCGGACATCCGATCTGTCCTCACCAGGACGGCTGACCGGTGTCGACGTGTCCTTCAGCTTGGTGACCTACAACAGTGTATTCATCTTACAAAAGCTCAGCCTCAAAGGTAAAGTATTTTCTAACTTCAATAGTCTGTATTTTCATCTATAAATTGGTAAACTGCTAATGTAGTTTGTTGTCATGAAAATCACTTAAATACTGGTAATATCGTCACCATGAAAAAATATAAACTCCTTCATATGTTCAGAAAAATTTGAAAAAGTATTTTTGTCAACCCTTATGTTAAGTTGGCATCTTAAAACCAAACAAAATTAGAAAATACTCAAAAGATTGTTTTGGGGTTTGTTTGTTGTTTCACAGCAGTCAGCAATATTCAGCTAATAATTGAGTATGGACCACACAATCCAGTGATCAACAGCATGAGTATCGATCTGCGCAATTGGGAACAGATGACATGTGTCAACCAAGTCAGCGAGCCTGACCACCCGATCCCGTTAGTCGCCTCTTACAACAAGCATGGGTTACTGAAGATCAATATTCTAACCCGGACCTTCACAGGTCATACTTAAAAGAACTATTTCATGATGTTGATGTTGTTTTATGTTCTCCCCCTACCTTGTTGTTGAGTGTTGTTACTTGGACATCACGGTCTCGGAGTTCCTTCTTCAATGTCTCAATTTCTCGGGTGAGCTTGCTGATAGACGAATCCTGCAATGTGATGACACCATGATGACGGAACATATCCGTAATACCAGGAGAGTGACAAACATCTCAGAACACCCTGTCATAGCAGCTCAATTCCAGGAACTCAACCAACCACTCTCGCTCGTGGATTATGTGTGAATGAGAGTGAGTGAGTGAGCTGGATTTAATGCTTTGAACAGTATTCGCGTCATATCACAGAGAATTAGTGAGTGAGTATGGTTTTACGCCGCTTTTAGCAATATTCCAGCAATATCACAGCGGGGCACTGCAGAAATGGGCTTCACACATAGTACCCATGTGGGGACTCGAACCCAGGTCTTTGGCGTGACGAGCGAACGCTGTAACCACTAGGGTACCCTACCGCCCCTGTATCAGCTTGATGTCGAAGGAAAACTTCAAGTGATGTAGGTCTTATGGTTATGGTACTGGCAAACCCAGATACATGATCAGTGAGAACCGGGATTCAAACCCATGATCAAATGTTTCAATGTGCCCAAGGGACACTACTCTGCACATAGAAATGCTGATTTATTTGAAGAAACAAACATTTTGAAATGCCAACCAAACTGTACAATTTCTCACTAAGGCAATGTAATATATGATTCTGCTAATTTATGTTTCGAATTCATTATGAGAAACACAGCGCAAATTTTGTCATGTTTTTTGCAATAAATATAAACATTGATGAGCTTATGGCATTAAAATAATTGTACAGAGTTCTTTCTCCTGATATAAATTTTCTTATCAATTCAAAACATTGATCTTATTCGTTTCAATAGTTAGCAATATGTGTGTGAATCAGCTTGGATCACTGTATCCAGATATTTGGCCACACTGTCATGGTTGAGTGAGTGAGTGAGTGATGTGAACAATGCTGATCAGTTTTGATGATACACTATCAGCAAGGTCACATGACCAAAAAATTCCTTGTTTGGTCAATAAACTTACAGCAAATATAGGGTGCTGATATACCATGTGACTCAGAACTCCCGACTCAGTGAGTGAGTGAGTGAGTGACTGACTTTGTTTAGCACCACATTGAACAGTGCATGAGTGAGTTTTGTTTTTACACTGCTTTTAGCAATATTCCAGCAATATCATAGCGGGGGACACCAGAAATGGGCTTCACACATGTTGCCCATGTGGGGAATCGAACCCGGGTCTTCAGCGTGATGAGTCAACACTTTAACCACTGGGCTATCCTACTGCCCTTCCTTGAACAGTATTTCAGTTATAGCACAATTACAGTACATGTATATACCACTCAAGGGTTGCACCCATATGTAGAGATTTATTGCGAGGACTTGAAGAGCTGCAAGCTATCAAGAGCACACAGACACACCTAGTCAGTCAGTGGAGCAAATCAGCTGACAGTGAAATCGGCAAGTGACGAACAGTGAAATGTGCATGAAACTGACATGAGTTCTAAAGCAGGTAGATATCTTGAATATGCATAGAGTGTAACACAGCACATCTCATGTGAATTATTTCTTCAAAACTATCTCCATCCATAAGTAATATATATACCCATGCTAATGCCAGTTATCTAGCACTGTCAAGTGTTGTGAGTTAATTCATATATTGTCACAATGATAATGTGATAACTGCATGTTAATTATCACACTGTATGGTGGCATGATATAGAAAAAAGCTGACACCAGGTTATATGTGATACAATATTTAAAAAAAAAGAATGAAAATATTTAAGGAAAGATGTTTGTAAATTAATCCTCAGTTCATACCAACACATCGAAAAAATCCTGCAAAAATACCCCCTTCAAATTTTTGTGAAAGTGAATTAGAAATGTTAATAAAATGTCAACATAAAATGTTTGCGGTAAACATATCAAAAAGGACCTTTTGTTTCAAAAATAATTCAATGAAACAGTTGTTTCAAATATGTAATATCAGATGGAAGTTTCACCAGATTTTCACATCAAGCAATATCTTTTTAAAATTAAGAAATATTAATGTAGATAATTTTGCTCATGTTTAAACATGATCAAAGGTTAAAAGCCCCAAACCCTTTCAATGCCAATTTACCTTATTAATTAATTCTGAAACCTAAAGTATTGAACTCCTAACAACAACGAAGAAACTTCCACGGCATAATTTTCTAAATCTTTCCCATATAAAGTCAATTTTGTAAATAAAAAATTAAAACTCAAACAGGCAAAAATTTATTGTTTCAGACCACTTCCAGAACAAGGTACAAATACCAATATTAAAAGTAAAGCTTCACATATAACCAGGAATGGATGAAAGAATTCAAGTGAAAACCATTGCATGTGCCGCAAACAGGTTTACTTACCTCCTCCTCCTCTGGCTTTACAATAGAACAGAAACACATTAGCCTAAATCCACAGCAGGCAAGGCTAATAACAAGGGGAGGCTACTCTAGGCTATGGGGTATTACAGGGAGACAACTGGGGCTGATTTAAACTAATACATTGCACTACTTCTTAGGTAATTCAGTTCTATCTACCATGCTCTCAGGATCAAGAATTTTATATCAGAATTCATATTTGTTACAAATGGCTCTAAATTTGTGGTTCAGATAAGGATGATGATCAAGGAAAGCAGAAATGGTAAATTACGATAAAAACTGAAAAATGACATTGAACTGTTTTCAGATCCTTATTTTCATTATATATTAGTATACCAAAGCGAGCATGCATGTTGCATAAAAGCATAGGCTTTGTGTATGTTATTAAATATTATTGAAAAAAAATATCTTAAAAAGATATAATAACCTATCTGATTAGCATATTCAAATGTGCTTGTGAAGAATTGAAAGAGGCTGAAGCAGCGAGTAGATTCACTAACGCAAGCTGTGTGTTTTCATGTCGCTCTTTAAGGTACAATTCCTTTATATTTGTAGTTCTAAAGAATAAACATGAGACCTGTCTCTGTTTGTAATCTATGAGTTTAAGTGACTTTTGGTTTAAGTTCCATAGTTATGTCGTCAGCAGGCTTGTTCTCAGAAAGATTAATTAAAAATTAAGAAGAACTTACACAAAAGACTCTCTGTAGTAAACAAAGAAACAAATTAACAACAACTGTATCAGACATTTACTGTTATTCTAAACAGGCTTCCCTCAGAGTAGGATAACCATGACATCTTCACATGTAACCATGGTAACAAAATTGAAACAATCAAAAATTTTATCATAAAACGTCATGAAGTAGAAGGTGGGTAACAAACAAAGAAAAATCAAAATTTAGAGAACCACAAAAATTATAACGAGGTAAGTGGGTAATGATATTAATGGGATTGAACGACAGACAACGAAGGGTTAGTCACAGAAACAAGAACATGCTCTTCAGTTAGCGTAACAAACTGGGGGGTTAGACAAATATTCTGATTACACTTACTTTATTTGACATGTCTCTCTGCATCTGGGTTACTAAACCCGACGTGATGTTTTTGTCTTTCCTAACCCTCTCCAACTCATTGCGAACATTGTTCAGTTCTCGCACCTTCTCGTTGAGTTCTTGTCTTAGATGGTAAGTACTATCACCCGAATCGCTTTTCATGTTATTAAGCTACAAATACAAACAGTCGTCTAGTCAGTGGATTTATCATATCAGTTTTTACAATTACTTCAGAGAGATTGATGCTTTTTTCACTTATCGATGGAGTATGGTTTTACACCAATTGTAGCAATATGTTAGGACTATCATGTAAGACAACTCCAGAAATTAGATTCCTACATTGTCCCAATTTTGGGAATCAAACCCAGGCTTTCACCATGCTTTCTAAACGCTTCCACCACTGGGCTACCTACACACCCCTCTGAATGAGGTTCAAGGATAAAGAGGCCCACATTAATTATTGGACTTTAATCCAGATTTATCAAAAAACTAGGAGAGAGGGAGTTTAATTATTAACAATAAAAAAATAATTTTTAAGAACTGTGTAAACTACATCATGGAATTTTATAAATGTATTAATGACAGGAACGATTTCAGATATTGTGAAGTTTAGGACCTCATTACAATATACAGGACAAATATGTAGACACATCTTGTGTTATATATGTCACATGTATTAATTCATACATAATATATGCATCTACAACTATCTGCCAAAACACATGCTATATTGCTATATATACATGATATATGCAGCACACTTCTAATTCTAAACTCTCAGGATTACATCTCTGGTAATATGTTTTCGATAAAAACACCAATCTCTCCTACAGGTCATGGTAAATATTACCGTAATAACTTCTTAAAAGTGTTCCCAGTATATTTCCTGTTTCCATGGTAATTAAGTGACGCAGAAATACATCTGCATAATTAGTATCTGACCCATCCCACTATAACCCACAAAATAAAAACTCTACACATAATTAGTACATGCTAAACAATCAGTTGTGCTCAAAACAAAGTACACATTCAATAACCAACTGTTATTCATATCAGACCAGGCAAACTTAATTTCTTGTTTAAATTCTTATAATTTAATAGTAGGTTACAGTTGAGGTTAATTAACCTCCATAATTTCCATATTTAAGTCACAACAAAAATATTATTTTGGAAAGGCAAATACTCTCAATCACCAGAGCTCTTTAAAGGAAAATGAGCAAATGTCAGCAAATCAAGAAAAATCATTGGCCTGGTCTCAGTCACATTTCTATTTAAATTAATTAACTTGAAACCCTTTGTGACAAAATACAAAACTAAAAACCATACCAGGTGTACTTTGTATTTATACCCGAACCAAACACCAAGACAACTATGTAGTAAGATACACCCGACAAAACACATATGGAACTATACACCTGTAAAATATAGCCTAGCAGCACTTAATGTACATCTCCATAAGAAAATGAATTTTTTTTTTATCAAAACATTTCTTTTTGTTTACATATTTTGAAACTCATATTGAAAGACAGAAGCCCAAATTAATGATCAAACAGTAGGTATTGTAACTTCTCCACAGCTATAGATATTTATCTACCATTTCAGCTGTTTCAGTTACTCTTTGCAATTGTGCATCATCAGCTTCCTATTGCAAGGGAGGTAACTGACCATAAAAGTGTGGTTTCCACCCAAGCCAAACTAGGCTGGAATTTCATGGCTCGATCATGGAACTACAAGTGGCTATTATGAGTTATGTCCCTTCTATGTTCAAATCAGCCAATCAAATTCTACTGTCATATTACTGTCATTAACCTTGAATGTAATGAGAGCATCCAGTCAGGAAGATGTGATCAATAATCAAGAAAGTTCAGGATATGAAGTAGTTGTGCTTAACAATTTTTCCAGGTGTATTTTCACTCCATAACATGAAAGAACACCTGTGAAACTTACCTGTTCCTTGAGTGATGCAACCTCATCCTTTCGGGCATTAACTTCCGCCTCTAGCACCAGCAGCTTGGCCGAGACATCTGTGTCTCCGCCCATTATGACGGACGGCTCTTGATGAAGCTGTTTCTGCAGCTGGCCATTCTCCTGTTGCAGCTGCTGAATCAGCTGTTCTTTACGGTAGGCATCAAACTCACCCACACGCAATCTACTATTTTCTTCAGTTAAGTGTAGAATCTTTTGTTCCTGAAATATATTATAAAATAGAATTCGGTTTCAGTTATTGTGACTGAGTTTACAGAATATGTATCATGGTAGGTGACATCAAGAAAGGAACATCAGCATGACAAGAACACACCCAACCAACTGGCCTATCCAACCGACTGGCCTATCCAACCGAATGGCCTATCCAACCGAATGGCCTATCCAACCGAATGGCCTAAACCGAATGGCCTATCCAACCGACTGGCCTATCCCACCGACTGGCCTATCCAACCGACTGGCCTATCCAACGGAGGAAAACACCCGACCTACTGGACTACCCAACAAAGGACCATTACACTTAGTGGACATTAACAAGTAACAAATTGCAATAGTATATTAACATTGGAACTCAAACCCCAGTGTTTAGCTTGAGCAAAGACTTTAACCATTAGTGATGTTAAATTCTGATTGGTTAAATTTCTGATGTCACTGCCAGAAAGTAGTACTATATGCAGAATAAAGCACAGAACAGAAGAAGTGAGAACACAACAGAGGACACAGCTGTTTGCTGCTTGTACACCATCCTCAGTCATCCAGGGAATGAAGTCTCCATTCCTGATATAATCCCTGCACCTATTTCCCACAATGGCTTTGTTCCACCATTTTGAGCAATATATTCTTTCCACTGAACTAAAATGAAGCGATAAGGGACCGTTCATAATTTATGGCTAAGGGGGGTGATGATGATTTTTATGGAGAGGCATGTACAATGTGAATTACCCCCCTAAAATATATGTACAAAATAAGTGACCCCCCTGCATGTCATGTACAAAATCAATTACACCCCCTCCCCTTCCCATAATTTCTAAGCATAATTTTAAACATATTTTTATGTAAAAAGTTGCTGACCCCTCCTAGCTCCCCAGAGCAAAATGTGTGACCCCCCTAAAATCATCATTTCCTCTCTCACCCCCACCCAAAAAAATAAAAATAAAATAAATAAATAAATTATGAATGGTCCCTAATGGCAAAATGGTCTAGATTTATATACCTGGAGAGATTAGAACCTGGACCATCTGTGAGGTTGGTGAGCACACTAACCATTGAGCTGCCCTGTTATCTGTCATGTGACTTACCTTCTCCTGCATCATTTGTAGCAGATCAGGGCATGGTTGCTGTGGCGTTGTCGGTGGCGCTTGCTGCATCCTCTGTGTGTTGATGGATGACTGCGTGGACCCCATCCACCCCACTGTATCACAGACACACAAGCATTAACACAGAACAATGGGACATCGCTCACACAGACATACAAGCATTAACACACAACACTGGGACATCGCTCACACAGACATACAAACATTAACACACAACACTGGGACATCGCTCACACAGACATACAAACATTAACACACAACACTGGGACATCACTCACACAGACATACAAGCATTAACACACAACACTGGGACATCACTCACACAGACATACAAACATTAACACACAACACTGGGACATTGCTCACACAGACATACAAACATTAACACACAACACTGGGACATTGCTCACACAGACATACAAGCATTAACACACAACACTGGGACATCGCTCACACAGACATACAAACATTACACAACACTGGGACACACAGACATACAACATTAACACACAACACTGGGACACAGACATACAAGCATTACACAACACACACATCACTGGGACATTAACACACAACACTGGGACATCACTCACACAGACATACAAGCATTAACACACAACACTGGGACATCACTCACACAGACATACCAACATTAACACACAACACTGGGACATGGCTCACACAGACATACAAGCATTAACACACAACACTGGGACATCACTCACACAGACATACAAACATTAACACACAACACTGGGACATCAGCTCACACAGACATACAAGCATTAACACAGAACACGGGGACATCACAGCTCACACAGACATACAAACATTAACACACAACACGGGACATCACTCACACAGACATACAAGCATTAACACACAACACTGGGACATCACTCACACAGACATACAAGCATTAACACACAACACTGGGACATCACTCACACAGACATACAAGCATTAACACAGAACACGGGGACATCGGCTCTCACACAGACATACAAACATTTAACACACAACACTGGGACATCACTCACACAGACATACAAACATTAACACAGAACACTGGGACATCACTCACACAGACATACAAACATTAACACACAACACTGGGACATCGCCAGCTCCACACAGACATACCAACATTTAACACACAACACTGGGACATTGCTCACACAGACATACAAGCATTAACACAGAACGCTGGGACATCGCTCACACAGACATACAAACATTAACACACAACACGGGGACATCACACAGACATACAAGCTCACACAGACATACAAGCATTAACACACAACACATGGACATCAGCTCACACAGACATACAAACATTAACACACAACACATGGACATTGCTCACACAGACATACAAACATTAACACACAACACTGGGACATTGCTTACCATGTACCCCATTCAATTTAGGATTCAGTGGCAACTGTATCACAATTTGTATGAGTCAGTGAGTGAGTTTAGTTTTATGCTGCTTTTAGCAATGTTACTGCTATATAAAGGCATGGGACACAAAGAATGCGCTTCTCACATTGTACCCATGTGCGAATCAAAACAGGGCATTCGGTGTAATGAGTGAACGTTTAACCACTTGGCTACCCCCCACTGCCCGAGAATTTGTTTGAGAGTGTAAGAACAGTCAACATTTACTGCTTGTTCTTTACTGCTCTATGAAGTATGTGAATTCTACAACCGTAAACCAATCATATCTTACCTCCGGAAGTGCTCCTAGGCAACGGACCCCCAACAGGTGGCCCGGTCACGCCTGCGAACCTCATGTCACACGGTCCTCGTCTCACTGCTGACGCCCCCGCTGACAGTGGGCGTGACCTGAGTGGGGGGCGGGGCAGTGGCCCTGTGGTTGTCCCCGTCCATGTGACCGATGCTGGCGGTGCTGTAGATGTTGCGAGGTATGGCAGGTTGGTGGTTGTGTGGAGTTGCTGCTGCTGCTGTGAGTACTGCGTATGGTCAAGGATGGTGACCGGCTGGGGCCAGGCTGACCCTGGGCGGGGCTGCACAGGGGGGTACAGCACCTGGAAGGAGGGCAAGGACATATGGATGACCAGGAAATCATGTACGACATAACCACACCTTTGACTAAAGATGACAAATTGACAGTGTCAAAAGAAAACAAGGGAGGTAGTAATGGCAGCAATCACTCAATGACAAAACAGTAAACAAAACACTTAGTACTTTCAGAAAACTAACAGCAACACACATCACAGTTGATATCAATTAAACAGTAATATCATACCTATTAACTTATATAAGGGTATATCAATAAAAACTATAGTAGTAAGTTCAAATCAGTTGTAAAGAATATATTTTAGCTATAGTAATACAATTTCTGCATCAGATGTATTCATTCTCCTGATTGGATACTGAAAGGGGGTTTCCCAGGAATTCCTGTTCATCAATCAGTCAGTACTAGTGTGCTATTTACCTGCTACTGCTTATAGTTATGTCACAGCTTTACCAGAAATTTACATATTAACCTGAGAATCAAAGATTATGAGTGTGTTTTGACGGACAGAATAATCACACGCATAAAATTTCAGAAATTTCACTGAGACTATCATCCTGTTGTAGTTCTGGGTGTAAAATCTTAACGAACATAAACAAATTGCATGTGTTGTCACCTCTGTAATGGTAAAATCATGATAAACTTTGGATAACATCATCAACTACACCACAACCTGAAAATGTATCAGACTGTTCACTTATGATTTCTGTTAGAAAAATTCTTTTGCATGGGGAGTTGAAAGAGATTTTTTTATGTTGTTCTTTTCCAACAATCTTAATTTTACCCAGTTGTACCCAACAAACTTCATTTTTTGGCATTTTTCTTATTAATTTCAAACAATTTTCACTATTAGCACAAAATTTAAGGGTATTTACCACTAAACCAATAATGATTTTTTTTCACTCATGCCAACATAATATTAATTTGGGGCATATTATTTAACAAACAGTTCATTTAAATAATCTTGCCAAATGACCCTCTTTTTTCATTTTTATTTTTATTTTTCACATGAAATGAATGCTTCTTGACCAGTGTTACACATTAATGGATTAACTGCGATACTGCAGTTATGGAGATTCCTGCATAATTACTTCAATCTGAGGACTTTTAAATCTGTAAAATTACTACTAAGGTAATGACAACGACACACAAGATTCAAGCTTATCTCAAACAATGTACAATTACTTTCAAGAACCAAAGCTCACACTCAAAAGATTTTACGACTGGGGTTAACAAGATGCCAGGTCTGTGGAGTATTCCAATCAATCAAAGTTTCCTATCAGGTGCCAGACTGGAAACCCTGAATAAAGGATGACAGATTTGTATCAAATGTTCAGACAACGTTCCCTGCTTCATGCCTTAAGTCTCGCTCAGATTAAAACAAAATAGCTTTTTTAAAGCTACAATGATGCTTCTGTTAACCAGGTAGAATTGTGCAATGACAGTTTTACGTTTAACATATATTTGAAAATAAGAGATTTCTAATCGACAGTGAAATACTTCAAATTTGAATATACTAGGTTTGTCTACAAAATGGTCCAAACCAGTAGAAGAAGTTTGGCAAACAGTGAGTGAAAAGTAGAATCGCTTTTCTAACAAATATATTGGAAAACGTAGACTGTAGTTTACTATTTTCAAATTAAATTTTAAAATGTAAATAGTCAAACATATATTTGGACCTTTCAGCCAATCAGACATTATAGATATCACACATATTTAAAACACGAAGACCATTATGTTTTCTCTTTAAAAATCTTGGTATTTGAGTAAAGATATATAAAGTACCACCAACAACAAATGTTTATGTGTAAAAAGAAAAATGTTGGCAAATGTTTGAAGATTGCTAATCTCAATTATTTAATTACAGTTATAGCAATGTGATAATGCAATATAATTATTGCCACATGTATAACAGAAGCTGATCTCCAGGATCTTGGAGAAATCCAAAAACTTGAACAAGTCCAGACATGAATGACATGAATCCAGAGTTAGACAATTGACGGAAACCCATATCTGTGTAAGCCCTACAGGGTAATCATGTTAATTAGATATTGCCCTATGACTTTTTCATGGATCTGTCACCTGTATCACGGTGCTCCCTCGTCAAACTGACAGGTGAGTAATTAGCTCATGTTCATTTCAGTGGCCAGTGCTCTACTGCACATTGACAGACAACAGCTGATGCTCAGTCAGCTATTTACAACAGACATGACAAGACAGCTCACTTGACAACAAAGCGTTAATGCAGTTATTGCAAAAATCTTCCATTATATTACATAATCGCAATCATGCATAACTGACGACTACTTGTTAGCATGATTTATTTAAACTGAGGCATTGATTCACAGCATACGCTCCCTATTGCCTTGTCACATGCACACACAATAGGCAATAACATGAACTAAATCTCCTCTTTATATTATTTCAACCACAGATCAAATGTTTTGAGAAAATAGTACAATGTCAGTAAACATTCAAGAAGTTTAATGATTAATATCACGTTGCGAAAACAAGGAAAATCAAACCCTGTCACCAAAAAGAGTCTGGAAAGATTGTTAATTCAGACATACAAGACATGCATCTTCATCTACACTATGTATTACATGATTATAGTTGCATGGAACATATAGAGAGAATGATACACAAGTATGTACAGAATGCTCTGTTAATTGTTATATCAGAATAGGATATATCATGATATATCAGAGGTAGATATATGTATATCAATACATTTACAAATATATATTTGAAGTGTATATATGATATATCAAAAAGATGATACATCACATCACAGGTTGATAGGTCTCATAGCTATGGTATATTTACCGTATATTTTACATTGTTAGTAATGTAACACTGGCATGTCAACAAATGAAAGGATACAAATGTAAGATATTTTTTAAACAATACCTCACTAAGATTACAAATAAAATTACCCATAGGCATATCCAATACTTTTGTATACTCAATGTTCGTCTATTTTGGAATAATGTCATGTGTACGCCAATCTCATTATGATGTAAAATATTGCCTTGTGTTTTTGTCTCTTGAGACTAGATTCATTCTTCCTTCAATATTCAACAGGGGAGACCTACCATATGTTTGAGTCCATTTTATACTGAATTACATCAAATAGGGAATACATGATATATAATACAGGTGTAGATCGCATGTATATATGATGTTATGTGTTATATATCACACAGCACATCATGTGACCTCACACAATCTCACCCCAGCAAAATGTTGAACTGTATCAGATTTTGAATCTGGATATTCCTGTGAATCGTGAACAAACATGGTAGTTCTTAGAGAACAAATATTGAAAAGACTGATCTCTGAAAGAAACATGTATCATAAGGACAATAGTTCTGTCTTCTGAAAGAAAATGGCAAAATTAACTATGACCATATATGGTCTTAAACACACCTCAGAAAAATAACTCATTACTTACCATGCTTCCTGTTGAAGAACAAATTCAACTTGTGTTTACCATGTTTAATTGGGCTTTAGATGCCTGTAACTATTTATTATAACTGCCAAACAATGTAAGTACTCTTTTAATTACTTTAAACTAGTTAACACAAAACATTCATATATTTTCATTCAGCAGAGATGGACAGCTGATTAATACAGAAACACTGATATTTTTTATCATTGCTTTAATAAATCTTCTGAGAAAAAATAAATCATTCAACATTTTTGTTACCATGGCTACATAACCATATGACACATGTATTTTTCAGGTTATTTACATATTAATAACTATGAGGAATAGTGTGGATATAGAAAAGTTTTCAGATGAGAAACTCACAAGATTCCACGCAAAGTATAATGATAAAGGGTTTAAAAAAAAGTAAAAGTCTGATGATATTCATAAGCATACCATAGGCCTTCTCATTCGATAAACAACCTTAAACAAAACAAAATTAAACATACACATTGACAGCATGTAATAACTTCTAATTTTTAAGGTCAGTTAAGTCAATTCAAATGAACACCATTTACACAAGTGAGGAAATTAGACACTAATAGAGGTGTGACGATACAGAAATATCACGATACGATAACGTATTGCGATATCTTGGAACGATACGAATTGATTCAATGCATATCACGATATGCTATCTTTAGTTATTTTCTTTCAAAATGTATATTTTGATAGCAAGTAACAGTGTAAAGTTTGACATAACCGCTAATTTCTGGTGTAAATTAATAATTTTAAGGTCAATGATACATATCACGATACAAAAAAAGTATCGATGTATTTATCGTCAGATAAAGTATCACGATTATCGATACTATGATATATCGTCACAGCTCTAGACACTAACACTGATGACATTGTTAAATCAGTCCTTCGCCTGAGAAACAGAGGACCAATCTTGATCATTATTGATGTTACCCTAAAGAGTATTATCATGTGTTGTGTTAGATACACTTTGAACTATCTTGTTCAAACATGTTATAAAATTTGCACCAAAACATTTCAACCTCTGGGGCCTTAGCATGATAACTTCATGCACCAAGGTAATGATAACACAAATCATAGCTTTATATCTTACTTAAATATTTACAATCGATTGCAGCAGACTTTCTATTATGAGTGAGTGAGTTTAGTTTTTGGGCGCTTTTAGCAATATTCCATCAATATCAGGAAGGGGGACACCAATAATAGGGCTTCATGCATTGTACCCATGTGGGGATTTGAACCTGGGTCTTCGGTGTGAGCACTGGACTCTTTAACCACTACGCGTCCCCAACGCCATTCCTATTACAAACATTCCCAGTTGTAAGATAAAAGTGCTAATGATGGCAGGTGTAGCCTGTCTGACTTCATTTGGTTTCTCAGGTAAACACTGACATGATAGGATTGTTTATTTATATGCATTATGACTGTAAGTTGGGGTCTAACAACAGACATTTTCAGGAGGGGGGTATAGACTTTCGGCCAAAATATATCAATTTGAAAAGTAAAAAAGATAATATGTAAATCCTGACTTTAAATAATATTCTTATACCCTCAAAATA